AGTTTGTGTTTGAATGAGTGTAAAAATATTAAAATAATTGTTCAGGTTTTTTATGACCATCTCTGGAATGATTTTAAGTATTTTTTCTAATTTGTGTGTTTAGATGTTTAAGTTGATATATAGATATTATCAGAACAGGTGTATATATAAAGAATAAGAACATTAGAAGTGCCCCATTGTAAAATTTAATATCTTATGCAGCATATAACGAAGTTTTATAAACGTCCATAATTAACAATCAATAGTTAATGCTTTCTAATTATTATCACTACTATTCAGAATGGTATGTAACCGGTAAATCACCGGTATCTAACCGGACTAAAAAAACTTTGAAGTACAAATAGCTTCTATTTAAATAAAACACGAGAAGCATAAACAAAAACAAATTCAAAATACGAATCATTTGAACAAAAGACGGAACAACGAAACCAATCAGTCACGTACACTTCACACTTGTTATGAAGCTTCCACACGACATATTATTTTCTCTGTACGCTTTACTCATGTAAATATGAACCTTCGCTTTCTAAAATGTGAAAATGTTCACATAATGCGTTCTAACCCTGAATTCGTCGCGCAGCATCAAAAGAATACAAACAAAACACTCTTGAGCAGCTAATTTGACGTAACAATGGCGCGAGGTGCATTGAAAATATTATACAAAGAGGTTTTCCAATGCTTCTAACGGAACTTTTTTGCTCATAACACGAGGATTTACGATAGATATTCGCGTTACAAATGATAATGAATTGTGAAGTCTCATCCGGTAGCTCAGTTAATTGCTCTATTCTTCAAATAGAGCGAATCAATCAATTTATGACGCTTTAATATTCAAGTTCATTTAACATAAGCAAGGCGATTTCTTTTCATAGTTTTGTTTAGAAGCATCTACCTACTTGACTAAAACACTTCAATAATAATTTTCATCATTACCTAAAATGTTTGCTATTTTGGCGGGAAACTAGGCACGGAATATTCCTTACACTTCCATATAAGTTTGTAAACAAAAGATGAGATCTTGACGCCTGGCGAGTGTTATGATACTTGTGACAGGTTCTTAAGTAATTAAAAGTCTTGAAACGTGCGCCGGCGCGTGTTGAAAGTGGCGAGGAAAGCTGCTGCGATCGGAATGGCCAATAATCCGCTTGCGTGCCGACTGCCAGTCCCGTCGCCGCATTTCTCGCTCAAACATATAGATACTCGAATGTAATAACGTATTCCCAGAAATTAAGAAATGTTATATCATAACATGAATAACTTTTTCCAAATGTTATCAGTGGACAATATTGAAAAAACCAGTAAGTAGGTGTACACCGGTAACGACATTTTTATACAGGTAGGTTTTTATAGAATATTGGTAATAGGTACTGAAAAACTGAAAAAAGATTCAATACATCGCTTAATTGGGTCTATAAACATCGAGACGTTTCAATATTTCATAAGCAACAGGCACGCAGATAAATCATAGTCGTCATCTTACGGCGGAACTAACAAAATACTCGATCCACTCATGTCCAAAAAACTTTAAAGTGAAAGTTGTGTCGGCGGACGTGAGAGGCAATCTCGTCATTCACCGCCGTTGGGTAATCGGAATGTTTTTAAAACGAAAATTATATACCTACTGACACCTTGCCCGCGGGCGTCGTCGGACCCTTTCGGATGTACAGAGATTTTTTTTTCTTTAATTGACTTTGAATTCGTCTTGTAGTCAAGATACCTTGTAAGAAGGTAAGAAAAAATTGTGTCCGGAACGAAATTAGAAAATAAATAAGTTTGGTTTATTCCTTTTCCGTCGACGTTGAAACTTCAATAAGATCAAAATAAAAATGGTGTTGTCAAGCAGATTCGCGAAATGCATCCAAAAAAACAATACAATGCACAAGTCGGACAAAATTATGCATTCCCATTGTGTTTAGAAATCAGACACACTGTTGAACATAATAATTGAGATGTAAACCGGTGATTGACACGATTGAAGACTAAAGTAGGCGTCGACCCAAATTGAACATGTGCATCTTGAATCAGGTGTACCGTACGATTGATCCGCATCGAGAACACGGTAACGGTGTATGTCACGCGCTTACGGATCACTTTGCGGAACATCGCAGCACTAGCTACTTTATCATTACAGGCTACAGCTAGAACTAATCGATAGCAAGAACCGATGATGCGTCTCTATCATCGTAAGTGTTATGTTAGTCTTCGCAAAGCATCTGTTAAATCAGTTACCTAACTTCCATTTGTTCAGGGTTTTTTTTACAAAATTCGCCTATTGATTTCGATATTCGGAATGAAAACAAATATGTGTAACTTCGTACCAAGGTGCATCTCAAGGAGAAGACTTTGGCGACATACAGTGGTTTTGCCTTCACATACCTACACTCAACTAAAGGATACTTACCATAATTTTGGTAGTTAGTCCGATAATACTAGGTAAACCTATACGGGTACGTAATAATAGAAAATATTCGGGCCATTCATTCAAATAATTGCTTGTAATGTAACTCAATGTTATGTAGTTAGCAGTAGTTAATAAATTTAGCACGTAGTTTTCAACGAAGTATGTTTATTATGCGACTGAATAAGTTTCAGTTCACGCTCATATCCGCGTTCAAAACACGCACGGACTTACGGATGGTTTTAGAAAGCGGATTGCACGCTGGACCGGTCACCGAGCCGGCGAAAAAAGCCAAAAAAAGCGGATGATGAAAACAAGAATAAGAGGTTTTCTGATGGACGATAGATTATATTTTTCCGCCAAAGAAACTTTCTTTGCGAATCATTTTTTATGCGAAAAAAATGCTGCAGTCAAATTCACCAGCGGACATTAGTCCACACAGGCTTAAATAGCATAAAAGAAAATGTTGCCATATAAAATACACCATATATCATCGCGGGCGGCACGCACAAGAGGAAAATTGCCAAATGGGTGGTGAAATTTGCGATTCTCATTTTTCCACGGTGAATTTCCGATGAAAGTTGGGAGCGAGTTGGTCACAACGTAATAGCAGGTCTGACTCCTCGCTCCGAAATTAGAAAAACGTTAACCTTGCACGGCAGTGGCACACACGCGACCGGACCGCGTTGCTTTCACCCATCGCCATGTTTGCCGCGCCTTGCGCTAGTCGTTCTGCGTTACTAGACAATATAATTATACTTGATGCTTTGGGAATATACGGGTTAATTTGTTTAAAGTAATTTATGTTGTTTATAAAATGTTTTAAGAAACAAAGCAAAAAAGAATTTATTATAGATACCGAAGTACCCTCCGTAGAATCACGTTTAAGTTAGATTGTTTTTCCAAAACAACGTACCATTCAAACGAAAAATCCGTTGAAACTCTTGATATCTGAACTTTTCTGATAAGAATTGGTTATATTATTCGTACCAAATCGATATAGACGAACAATCAGTAGGTAGGTACATGCAAAAGTAGGTACCTCAGTCTAATTTTACGTAACGTTACCTAATTACTTAATATGTCAAATTTCACAAATTCTGTTCAAAATATAAATAAACAATTAACTGATTTGATTAGACAATAAACAAAGACGCTTTGCCGTATAAAAAGAATCAATGATTTCTTATAATTTATGCAAATGTAGGTCGGTTGAAACGTGAAGATCCGCGACGATCGAAAGTGAGGCTAAGTTTCTCGTGCGTTGCAACGCCAAGTTCAGTCACCTGCCCAGGGTTATTGGGTTAAGGGGTCAAGTCACCTTAAAACTCGCCACTAATTAGATTTAACGCTAATTGGAAACTTAAACAGGTCTCGTCTTCGATATTCATGGAAAACTAATATTAGAACAGAATAAATAGAAAAGAATAACTCGTTAGGTAGGTAGTTATTGTATGGTCCTACTAGACCCCACCATTACATAAATAGCATCATAAATGTAGTGGTTTACCAGTAAATGGCGGCAACAAAGCATACATAAAACATAAGTAATGACGACGCCAGTCTTGCGACAACAAATTTCTCCAGAGAGAATCTCGACGGACCCGCTGTCGCCGGCGACCGGTGCGCCCGCGCACCACTGTTTAAACCATCATATAGGTACAATATACACGTATGTATCGCGTTGTATCGACGGACGAACGTACCACTAAAGAAACAATTCCTCTTTAAACTGTCAAACACCAAGCGGTCACCGGTGACCGCGACCTATTGTTCTTTAATTGTGTCTATAAAACCGGTACTCGACGAGTTAATGAACCCATTCATCAAACCGTTCACGTTTATCGTTATGATATAATTTTAGTCAAGTGAACCGGAAGCCATAGCAAGGTGCTAAATGCTTACTTTATCGGTCGGAGAAAGTAGACCATTTGTCATATTTTACAGAAGTGTTCAAAATACACGTTAATTCGTATAACTAGCACCTTATTAAGTATGGTAAGAGGTGACATCCGAATAACAGTTACTAAAGACCGGGTCACCGCATTCAAGGGCTGTCGGATATGCAGGTTACACATTTGTAAGCTGGTTATCATAAACCTCACAGGTCTACACCTAAATTAGTACAAATGTACATTTTTATAAGTAGGTATGTGTTGTTGAGTTAGTATCGTAACTAGAAACTAGGGAATAATGTTGGGTATGGTTTCTTTAATGATTTTGTTGAATCCAACCTGTACAGAACGGAAAACGTTTAAAAAATACACTACCAACGTCCTCTAATTAGAGAGACGGGCATCCTCGTAAAAATACAGAGAAGGCGACGCTAGGGGCCACTTTCTAAGCAAGTCTAAAAGCAAGCAATCAACTCGCGCGAATCACTCATCAGAACACTTTCTAGTCGACGTCTATTACGCGAGAGCACAATTAATCTGTCAAACACCAAGCGGTCACCGGTGACCGCGACCTATTGTTCTTTAATTGTGTCTATAAAACCGGTACTCGACGAGTTAAATTAATTCTCTGTAGGATTTATTTTTAGAGTATAATAATTTTTAAAACTAATTATTTTAATACTTACGATCACTTTATTTGTCAACAGATGCATCAAACAGTGACGGGATGGGCGCTGCTGGCGCTAATAAGTTCATCAGCCATTCTTCACACGTTGGCGTATCCCCAACATGTCCCCCTTATAACTCAGGTATGTGTAGATAAATAAGTAATACTTACCTATATACATCCTTATTTAATACATCTAGTATAATATCTATTTATAATATTGTATTAATTTCCCAGGCCACTAGTAGCGTTCGGACACACAACCCACAATACTACAGCAACTCTTTACCAGCGCCTCAACCCGAACAAGCGCAGGAACGTAAATTCGCAGAGAAATCCAATGCCTTAAAAAAAGTTGCTCTAGATGATATCGATGAAATTCAGACGAACTCGATTTCAGATGGAGGTTTCTCATGGTCAAATATGCTTGGTAAGTTTAAAGTATATTATAAAGATTAATTAATTATCCAATTTTTGGTTAGTACGCGATAAAAATCTTTGAACAGTAGTTTCCTTTTTAATAATGATGAATATTTTAACTTTCCAGGTATGCTAATGCAAATGATTTTCAACCCCGGCACCACAGGACCAAACAAGAGCGACAGTATTGACACCGATTCAGTATCTCCATCTCCATGGGCCAACTTACTCTCAATGGGTCTGAAAATCCTAACTGCAATTCTTGGAGGAGGAGCCTCCAGCGATGGTATTGACAAAGTAGACAACGGCTCATCTCCCATGCAGGTACTTACAAACATTATTTTATCATTTCAAAGGAATTTATTAAAACATATCCTATCAAAATAATTATCTCGAAACGAGAAAATCAAATTACCCACTTCCACCGCAAAGCTTCAGCTCTGAAGTTACCATTCAATTGTACAAAAACAAATGCAATCATCATTATTTTATTTATCCCTACTGATCCACTAACATATTTATTATTATTGTAGATACTTATTGATATTTATTTAGACGTTTACAAACACTCCAATAATGTAAAAAAGCACCACATAAATTGACCCTCACCTGTAGAAGGCATCATTTATCAAGTAGTTTTTAGAAGCCTCAATTAATTCACTACAAAATAACTAGTACCTTCACGTCCGGGGATCACCTCAGAGAAATCACTTAGTATCTACTACTTCTATTACATTTTTATCAATAAAAGCAATTACAATTTTCCTTGAGGTTTTTCCTTTCTTCGGAATGTAAATAGTAAAATTTGGTTACGGAGACGGTGTTGCTTCTCGCTTGCTTCAGGGTATTTTGGCTGCGGTTCTGTCGACGGTGCTCGGTGCAAAAGATCCCGACCAGGTCGCCTCCATGGCAAAGCAGGCTGGAGAGGTACGCAACCCATCCTTCCTTCTCCCAATTATGCAATTATCTGTTTTTAGTGTCTACGATTGAAAAGGAATACCATTTCAATTATTTGATGATTGAATCAGTCGATTATTTTCAATTTCAGATCTTGAAGACTAATTAATATTACAGTCCAAATCAAATTGTATTTTTCTTTTCGCAGTTCATCAACATCGTCGTCAATCTTCTGGATGCCTTGAAGACTTCATTCTCTCACAGGTCGCTGGCCGCAAGGTCTATGGGCCGCAAAGATTCAGTTAGTGATGCAGCCCTTGCCGGTATTGCCATGTTCAAGACATATGTAAGATCGTTCGGCACAAATGACGACAAGTGTCTTCAAAAATATGTGTGCGATGCTAACGCTGAGTGCTCTGACGACATCGGTCCCAAGAGTGTGTTCTGTCAATTCGGAACGTAAGTATAAATTGTTTTTATTTTTTAGTCTGAAATACTACACAATGTGTAGTATGTGTGTGAGGGCTCTAAAATACTTCAAGGGACGCTAATGGGTTAGTTCCCTATCCCCGAGTCCCAAGTTTCTGGTCCAATAGAATAATTGCTAATGTCAATCCATAGGACATTAAATTTTTGTAAACTATGGTGGGATGTGGTTCATTCCCATCTTTCCCTAAATGTTTTCCCCCAGATGGGGAAAATGGCAATTTCGTGGCATTTTCCCTCGAATTTTTAATCGGAGAACCTCATTATATCAAGCAAATCAACAATATTTCTGGAGAGTGTATTTTTGACTGGAGTATTCAATCGTGCCCAAAAAAACTTGATAATAGTCCTTTCTTGACCTCATAACGTAGTGTTGTCATTATTAGTCGATTATACCTAACCGATAAAATCCACCAAATAATTTTTGGGTAAAAAATCAATAGATCCATCATCTTCATATTACAACTTTCCGAGTACAAGCTTTAGTTAAGGTATATGCTGTTCTAGATTCAAGACATGAAAGTGTAAATATTATCTTTGTTAATTTAATAAATATTTAAAACTTCCAATATAATACAGAAAACAAGAAAAAAACTTTAGTACATGACAACCACGGTCATAGTCCGTTTACGAGGGAATATCTATTTAAGGGTAAAAACTAGTGTCATCAACATTTTTCTTACACATGTTTTATTTAGGTACTTAGGTTTTTTACTCACAATTGTCATTTTTACAGCTACGCTGCCAGCTTCGTTTTGGAGCGACAATCTGGAGGAACTTTCGATGACTTCTATGAGGCTGGTCGCCGGGGTCGTTCAGGTGTAGACTGTCGCCAGATGTATCTTCAGTGCAATGAAGTCTAATGCCAGTAAAAAGCTCCGCCAAATTATGTTGTAGTGCGACTTCTAAATTAGTGATAACAAATCTATAAGATAACTTATTGTTTCCAAAGTATTACCTCTTGGTTCTGCCTAAAAAACCGTATTACAGCAACATGAAGAAGTGTTAGATACAAATACAGTCAAAATGCGATTTTGTTTTGATATCGGTGGGTGACATTCAAGTATTATAACTACAGACGACGCAACGAATTATGTTAGTTTTGTGCTCTAAACTTATCCCATCGCACTAATTGAAACAGCGTCAAGTTTAGTGTTAAAATAATTTATTAAATTATTTATTTATTTAATTTATTTTAGAAGATAATGAGTAAACGTTTAAATTGTTCCACATTTGTTATACGGTCCATTTCGTGAAAACTTTATAAATGAGTATTGTAAAATATTGTATAATTGGCACATTGTTTATTGTATAAACGATGAAATATTTCGCCAGTTTCTCGATAATTGACGACTGATGTAAAAAGTTATATGTGATATAAATAAATATTTATATCACTTAATAGTTAGTATTGTATATTTTGTGCGACTGAGTGATTGAGGACGTCCTTGTGTGTTTGTGATTGTAAAATAATAAAGAATAATATTTAATTATGTTTTTCTTTTACTGCTACCCGGTTAGGTAGTTAGCACGTTAGATAAGCACCGAGTTGCTTATCTCGCGACATAGAAACGTATGTTTCCTAGAAAATAACACTGTGAAAGTACCGTAATAATAATTTCACATTCTATAAGACAACGTTAGGCCAAGTAGAGCGCATCATGCACTCATGGGCACTTGCACATCCTACTGTCAGCTAAAACTTGACATTCGTTGACATTGTGTTCTCGTGAGATGACGTTGGAAAATCTTCTATCCCAAGTGGGAATCGGAACAAAGCAGCTGACAGATAGGTGAGTGCATTCAATCCAAAGATTCAAAATAGTGAACTATAGTTAATTATGATTAGTAACAGATTTAGTAGTAGTCAACAACAGACGGAATTTTATTATGCGCCAATTGGCGAATTAGGTGGGTTAATTCGATACGTATAAAACGCCTATAATACCCAATTTGTATATGAGGTATATTTTTGTTTGTGTGTGAGAATATTAAATTAAAATTGTGACGTTGCAACATTTTAATCAACTTAGAACGCGGTATCATGACCCCAATGCACGCAGAGCAGTTGTTATACCAGAATTACTTACCTCAACATAAACTTTTTTAACATAGATACTCGGAAGTTCCAGTTCACGATCACCATGTATATTATGCGTATGAACCCTCTGCACCGTCACACGGGCCTGTTGCGACATCCAAATAGTAAGTTACTTAATTTTTTTTCCAAGTTCTTAAATAGGCAGAAATCTAGACGACGAGGTCACCAATTTTTGTTTTAAATGTAGGCTGTTTTACCTTACATGATACAAACCTATAGTGTCTGGGCTACATCCAACCAAACAAGCATACAAAAACAAAATAGATATTCTTATATATAGACTAAATAGTGGCTATTTTTAAAACACGTGCTTTTGTTATAGTGGATGTAGCCCAGTTCTAAAGCACACAGGTAACCATGATATAGGGAGACCTTATTGCCGCACATGTCAGTGTGTTAGATTATAATTGTTTAGTATGGAGTACGTTGATTAAGAAGAAACGACATATTTGTTAACTGTAATTAATTGGGGAAATTAATAGCATTTTGATTTAGGTTTCGAAAGCAAAGTGTATGCGTTCCTTAGACCCGAATACAGAAGAGGTATTGTTTTTAACTGACTTTTTAGAAGTATGAAATGAGAACGTGATGGCGCAAAAAGCCATTTATGTACATAAATGTACATGATGAAATGATGCCAATTAGGTACCTTTGGTCATCGCACCACGCTGTCGTATTGACCGATTACGCTAATCCTTTTTTTTGTTTCGTTTGTTACGGCCAGGAACTTTTAACCGCTTAAATGCACCGATATGAGACACAATAGAAAATACATTATGTCCCGCGTAGATCCACGTTCAAACACACGACGGGTTAAATAAAGAAAAAGTAAGAATTAACACCCTGTCCAAAGCTGTGGCAGGCCAATAGCACGTTGTAAAACTGGTCTAAATTAAAATAATTTTAACAGTTCGTACCTAACAATCACTACTATACGTGTGAAGCCTGTCGCCGAAGCAATTACCATAAACAATGTGGTTATAGGTATTTAAGAAATATAATTTTAACATTGTTTTTGTTTCATTTATTTATCATTAAGATGACTTCAATGATCGAGTTCATTTAAAAATTGTTGAATTCCTCTTTCAGCAACTATGGAGGAGGTCATCATAAAAGCGGCGCGTCAATGTCTGCACTCACGCTGTTGGCGTTCTTGTTCTTTCTCCATATTTTACAGCAATGTATTAAAGATCACATGACAGAAATGAGTACCGCACCCGTTATGATTATGACAGCCGGCAGAGAAGGAGAAGATGCAATAACCAAATCGGCAACTTTTAATAAAATTGATAAAACCGGCGTGACCGATTTTGGTTCTAAAGACAGCTCAGTAAATGACCGAACGGATACAATTAATCAAAATAAAATAACCGAAAATTACGACGTGAAAAATCCATACAATAATGATGGTCCATCAAGCAAACATCAATTATTGAAGGTTAAAACAGAACAGTTGCCAAGGTCAGAAGAAACAAAGCAAAAGTATGTGTTCAAAAACTACGCCAACCGAAGCTCTATGTATGCTGGTTTTTATAGCGCCATGGATGAAGAATAAAGGAACGTTCTAAAGGGAAACGTTACCAGCATCGATGAAATAAAATACATAATCTAGTGTCACTTCAAATTTATTACGAAGTTATTACTTAAATGTACAATCTTACTCACGTTGGTTAAAAAATTATTAATTGACCTAAAATAATAAAATATTTCTTCGGTGTCAATTAATAACTAGAATTATATGTATAAATCCAAATGTAATTTAACTCCTAATTATAAGTTTCTCAGCAAAATAAAAAGCAAAATTATGCTTTTTGTCTATAACTGCTTAACTAAACTATTTTGAAAATGCACTCAGTGGTGATTTTATTCCATAAAATATAGGTACTTAATCACATTTCCATAAAATTAAAAAAACATTAATGAAATAACTAAACATTCTTAGACAATTACCTCACTTAGAATTTTCATCACAAAAATTATAACTTGTTTATGAACAGCTCGTTTGAAAACCGAATATATCAAATATTATGATGTTATATTGAGTAGGTACTATAAGGTTTCTGGAGCAGTGTTCTTCAGCGATACTCAAGAGTTAAAATATTTTTATGCTGCACCTGTATTTCGTTAAACTTTAAAGCCATATAAATCGGACTGAGCGAATATGAACATGCATTGTGTAGAATCAATTTTTACATAAAATATAATGTTACTTTTACCGGTGACGTTCAAACACTAGTGATTATTAATTATTTCGAATTCTAGAAGATTGTGAACGCAGAAGGGAAAACTAATAAAAAATAAACTACATATTGTTATCATTATTTCTTCGCTTAACATCTACTTAGTTTATTTTTTCTTGCTACATGAAACACCAATTTATTTTCCTATTGTATATTAAAATCTTGTTTAATTCTGACAACTGCAATATATTATGACTCTTCAACAATGACCTTTAAAACTGCAATGTAAAGTCTAATTGCGTCTCACACGTTCTATGTATTTTGTTTGTGTGAGCGCGCTGGAACCCATTGTTGGGTCCGTCATACGATTCCAGTCAGTTTGGCCTACAACAAATCCAATGGCACGCATCTTCTCTTGTTGTCGTCGCTCTTCAATGTCCGCCCATCGTACCTGTTTTAATTATTACATGATGAAAATTCTCTGTCACACGTTGGTTAAACACTTTAAAAGGAACTCACCTTCTCAATTTAAAAGAAAACACTCATTAATTTTCAGAAAAAATGTCTGCTAAGCAACAAACATTTAATTTGCGATAAGCTTTAAAAAAAGCAAGTTTTTTTCGAAGAAAATACGAACGAGGAAAACGGAGAATGTGAACGATATAAAAATTATGGCCATGTATGCCATAACCATATGAAAATAAGGCCAAAAATGCACCAAATTTTGAATATTAGAAAGAGATATGGTTGTAAAATTGTTAACAAAGTAGTCACCTCGGTAAAAATATACCGAACGGCGAAATTATAGGATGAATATCAATCAACGCAATCAAATAACACAAATATTTAAGGTTTAAATAATGTTAAACTATTTGCGTAATAAAACCCATATTTTAATTTAGGGCCGCATAAATATCTGCAGCTTTAAAACAATGTGATAGTAGATAGTTTAGCGATAAAATTCACGTTAACCGGAATCGGAGCCTAGGACGCCAAAATACATTTCCACAACCATATCGCTATAAATAGTGGAAATATTCAAAAGTTGTGGAAAGATGAAATTAAAAGTTAGATCTTCATCAATTGCATGAATGTTAAATTCCACTCCTAGCATAAACATTTTTGCTTATCTGGTGTGGTTAAGAAAAAGTCTCGAAAAAAATCGTAATACGTCTTTTGTCAATTTCAATATCAAAATAAATGTAAAAAGAAATGGTATGTGCATACTTACAGATTTCTTTCCTGGCTGTGCTTTATTTGGTGTCCAGTCGTCTAGTTGTAAGTAGTCTTCCATGGAAAGCTGCGACGGGCGGAGGGGCTTGCTGGTACCGTCGAGACGAGCTGGAACAATTTACAAACACATTTAATATCGCGATATTCATCTTCTTAACATGCCTATCTGCTGATTCCTTAAATAACAACAGTCAGTAACATATTGCCTAACCAATGATGATGTTATACTTAAAAAAAATAACAATATAATATATTCAACCAATAACCTACCTAGTTGCGCAGCGTCGTCCATTTTCTCCCACTTGGATGTAAAAACGCTTTCGACCTGTCATGGGGCAGCACCTTACATGTTTAGTTACAATGCTGAAATAAAACTTATTAATCCTACCCTAACATAAGACAGAATAATCCACTCTAATAAAAAAGAAATAAATACAAAATTTCAGAATAACACAGAACACACAATCAATATTGGTAGTGCCATCAGGAGGATTAAACACTGAAGTTGGCTGGAGCTCGTTAACGACGCCTCACCTCAGTTTCTTGTGAATCCTCCAATACAATTTGAACGTCGTCGTCAGCGTCTTCCATCTGGACTTCGGTTATGGCTGCACTCTGTAGTAATGTAGTAGGATCCAATTGTATATGGTGTAGCGGGGTAGGGAAAAATCGAGAACTAATCGCTTCTATCTCCTCTAGTGTCCTATTGTGAATATTTCTCTTATAACAGACTTGTGCATCAAGTTCCATCGTACAAATGTACACCTACAAATAATAAAAAAATAAATATTACATTTTAGTGTTCATTTAAATAACTATTTTGATTAAACTTGTTTACGTACTTGGAAACCATTCTGCCGTGCAAAGTTCCATATATCAGCATAACACCTTAATTGTTCATTCACTGCGTCATAGATTAAAAATGTGAAAAAACCATCTGTCAATGTTCTTTTGAAAGCCCTCTTCAAAGAAGTTAAATATGATTCTTCATAGCTTGCATCATACTCATATTTTAAGGTTGGTTTCTTAATCTGAAAAATAATTCATTTTGGATTTTCTATATGTAAAATAGATAAAAAAAATATGATAAAGGTAACTCAACAACTTACAATTTTTCCACTGGATGGATCCTTCTCTTCGACTTCTCCTTCTTGCATAAAGTAATCATCAATAGACATTATTCTGACTGTACCTCCATATTCTGCTTCTCTATCTCTTATTAATTTAGCCAGGTATGATTTGCCACTTCCAGGGGGACCTGCACAGAGGGACAATGATGTTGAATAATTTGTTTGATTAATGCCTAATGTGATTGATTAATTAATTTATAGTTATAACGATGCTGTAACTTACCTCTTAGAATAACAACAATTTTGTCAGGTCTCATAGACCTTCCAGGAGATTCTAATAAATCATCAATCATTACAATGTGTTTAGATGAAGATGCACCTGATAAAGACTCATCTTTATCTCTTGGTTTTTTAGAATAGTGCTTTCCACTGTCACTTTCTTTACTTAATCCTCTTTTGCGCGAATCTCTGTCACGACTTCGGCTGCGGTATCTACCTTCTTCTCTTCTGCTTTCTCTACCCAAATCACGATCTCTATATTCTCTATCCCTGTCTCTGAAGGAATCTTCGCGCCGAAGGTACTTATCACGATCATCTCTCCTTCTATCGTCTTCGCGGTCATCTCTCCTTCTATCGTCCTCGCGGTCATCTCTCCTTCTGTCGTCCTCGCGATCATCTCTTCTTCTGTCATCATATCTATCTCGTCTCCTATCATCATACTCAGTTCTAGGTGGACCCCTAGGCCGAATCTCATCTAGTAAATCAACGTCATACCTAGGTGCTCTTCGTTCGAAATCTCTGGAATAGTGGTCACGGCTATATCTTTCCCTGCCATAATCATTTTCGGCATCTGATCTCTTAGGTTTTTTTTGAAACAATTCATCCACTTCTTTTTCGAAATCTTTCTTCCTGACCTCTCCATCTTTAGATTTATGATTGTAATGAAATGTGTGGACAGGCTCTATAAAATCTCGAGCTAAAATGTGATAAAACGATTATTTATTATATTGTTTTTAACAATAATTTTAATACAAAATTTCATTTCATATAAAACATTAAGTTACTTTTTCTTACCTTTTAATCGAAGAGGCTTGTGCTCATATTCCACAATCAGAGACGGTGTAAACATTGGTTCATCTAACCACTGGGGTCTAACAGGTGGCTTGGGAACAGGATGTTCAAGTAAAGGCTTCCTCTCGGGTAGCCCTTGATTACCCATAGGGTGATCAGGCAAATTGGACATTAAGGGGCGTAATGGTGGTCTGGGCGCAGATATATTAGGCCGAATGGGTGCATGACCCCGAGGGGGCGCATTATTTTGATATGGAGGCCTAATTTCATTCCCACTATATTGTATATTTCTATCATTATCATAATCATATTGATCTTGGAGTATTTCCTCATGCTTTCTGTTAGGAGGCAGGAAATTAGAATGATCCTGATGGTGCCCTAAATAATTTTGCCCAGGTCGGTTGTATGACATATTTTGTCTATTATCATCAAATTGTTGATTATTGTAGTTCTGGTTACTAAGATTTCTATTGCCATGACCGTATGGTGCATTGTTTTGAACATTGGAGTTGTACTGGCCACTAGGAGGATTCACATTCGGAGGACCCGTGGTAGCAGGACTTTGAGCAGTTTGCCCACGAACCATTGAAAGAATATTCATAATTTTTTCGTCACCTAGGATATTATTAATTCCCTTGGAAATGGTGGTGTAATCAGGAGCTTTTGAATCTGATCCTGGGTTTGATTTATCATTTGAAATATCTATAACCTCATCATTGGTATTTCTAACATGTGGTTTATCAGTCTCTGGGACCAAATCCAAGCCAGGGATTCCTTTATTGTCTCCACTAGTAGGCAGAAAACTGCTACTACTAGTAGGTGTTGGTGTGGAAAAATTAGTATTTGCTTGGTAATCAGTCTCTCCCATAGTCTGATAGGATTCAAATCTGTCCTGTGGGTCAACATTTTTATTACTATTACCCATATTGTTAGTAGTGTTGGGTCCTTTATATTGGTCATCCTGGTAATGAGCATTTTTATCAGTGTAGTTTTGGGAAGAGTTATTATAATTCTGTAAATTATTACCATAATTCTGTGCATTTTTACCATACTTGTGTGAATTATTTCCATAGTTTTGAGGAGTGTTAGGATAATTCATTTGCTGACTACCATAGCTCTGTTGATGACTGCCATAATGCTGCTGATTATTGCCATAATTCTGTTGATTATTGTTATAATTCTGTTGATTATTGGGATAATTCTGAGAATTATTGCTATAATTATGTGAACTATTATTAGTACTATAACTCTGTATGTTGTTGTTAGCATAATTCTGTAAATTATTTCCATAGTTTTGTGTTTGTTTAGATGGAAATGCATTAATATTTGTAGTATTTAAACTAGCATTCACTGTTGGTGCAACAACTTTAGCAGCTGTAGTACTTGGAGTTGGAGGTTCTGGCTGAGTGGGAGGATTAGTTCCCATAAGTCGTGCCCTTTTTTGTTTCATCTGTAGACGTCGTTCCATGAGCTGTGCTCGACATGATTCAAACTTTTGTTCATATTCTTTGTATGCCTGTTTATCAGGGTGATTCACATTATCCTTCTTCCATTTCTCAATTTCCTCTTCCCATTTCTGAAACTGAATGTCAAAAAGTCTCTCTTCTTCAGCTAGTTTCTTCAAAGCATCAGCATTGACTGTAGTTTGTCCAGCTTGAGCTGACTCTGTACCTTGTGTCCAATTGGCATTACTGCCTGCCTGATTATGTACATTAATATTGACATTATTACCAGAATTATTATTTCTTTGTTGATTGGCTCCTGGTGCGGGGACAGGTGTAGGCTTGGAGGTGTTTCCAAAAAGTGGTTGGTTGTTCTCATGGGGAGGCGGGGGTGGCTGGTCAGGTGGCGGCGGTGCAGGCGGTGGAGCAACGTTTGTCGTCGGTAGAGGAGGCATTCCCCCCATAGCTTGGAGAGCTTGCATCTGCTCCACATACTACAATTAATTCAATCAACATTAGCTGGATATCCTTAGTACACAACAAGAACTATTACAAATAAAAATGCATAATGCTTAAGTAATAAAAACCACATGACATGCATTACTGAGCCATACTAGTAAAACAGTAGGTACCTTGTCACCATACTGGCCATGCCATTGGGCATATTGTTGTTGCCACTGCGTCCATTGCTGCCAATTTTGTTGCTGCATTACAGCCCATTGCTCTGCTGTATACGAACCCATGTTAGCCATATTTATTTCAGGGGTCATCGCTATACCCGAGCCCCATTGACCTGCAGTGGGCATCGGCCAAGCCATATTGTCAAATAAAATAGTTTGTCACATAAAATAAGGAATACTTATTCCAATAATTTGTACAACAATCTACAATGAATTCAAAGTCAAATAACTTTGTATTATTAATGGTCGCACAACGGCCATTTTGTTACCATCATTGATTTTTCATTCAACGTCGTCCTTTGACGTTGACATAAGCGTCGCATTTACTTGTAGTGATGTTCGAAGTCGATTCAGTCGATACTACGAAAAATTTGTAATAAATCTAACAATGACTGTAAATAAATGAGAAATACTGATCTATGTGTGCACTTCATTTATTATATTATCTTGTTCGTTTTAAAAGATTCCGATTACATTTTTCACTTTAATGGAGAGTAAAATATACAAAAGAGCGGCTTTAAAGGACTGAATCTTTGTTTTTCTTAGATATTAAAAAATATTTCAAATAAGTTTGCTAAGTAACCAAATTTTTTGTTTGCTTTCAATAAACAATCATAATTATATTATTTATATTTAAATAGGCTTCTAGACCTGACATCCTCATAAAAGGAAAATGTACAATAGAATAGATGACTAATTGTCATATAACGTCCGTTTGGTACTTACCTACGTTATTTTAAAACATTAAACATGTATTTTTTATTTTTTCACGGAAACAAATACTTTTAACGATTTATTGATTTGAAATATCGTGTGACATCACTTCTAGGTACGTTTTATATACGTAGACATGATAAGAGTGTCGTTAGAACTCCAAAATAAAAAATATTCGTTAGGTATATATTTTTTACTAAACAGATTTTTAATTTTCATACCCCGTCATCACCCTTATTCAAGATTAATGGGCACGTGGTTGGCAAGTTTATGATACAAATAATAAGAATAAAATAACTCATAGTACTTGTACTGATGAAAAGTAATAAAATTTGCAATATAAAGAAACACTAAAAGGTCATAATTAGCTAAACATGCTTAACTAACTAGATAATCACTAATCATCAAAATGAGGTGTAAGACACTGTTCGTAATTTGTTTAAACTAAATGTGAGCAAGCAACATTTTTAAATAAAAAGTTTATTTAAAGGTAACATCTGCCTCTAAATGTATTAATTATATTTCCTTTATGTAACGTACCTAACCATATATAATTATTATATTATTTGTACAGCGTGAGTCTTTATAATGTGCGCTTATTGAAATGACGAAATCTTTTATTGCAGAAACGGTTACATTGTATTTCGTCGTATGATTGAGATTAACGAAGGCCCGATCCTCCATCTCCCATAGCCCATCCCCCTTTCCCAATCCGTATATCCTCAATCCCTTAAAGTAATTTAATAGTAGGCATAGTTATTATAACTTTCGTAAGACATTAAATTATTTATTATATTTTTCTGCTTAGTTACATAATTATTTGACGACGACACTCGCCGTGTCGTGGGTCACGGAATGCTGCGCATGAATATGAGCCTCTAGTATGGCTTGAAACTAGTCGAGAGTCGAGTCCTCATCTGTAATCGTCATCAGTAAAATATGCAATAAATCTGGTTTACAACTTATTTGTTTATGTTTATTATGATTTTGTGGATACAGAGATGTAAAATTTTTGAGAACCATATTTTTTTATTTTGAAAAAACAAAAATTCTCAAAGAAACAATTTATTGTTCACTACAAATGTGTAACAAAAAATATTTATTATTATAAAACCTAATCCAAAATCCCTTGATCCAAAAATACGTTACAGAATAACATTAATAAATATTACGTTAATAAACAATTTTCTTTAAAACAAAATAAATAAATATTTTTCTATTTTTTAAAATTGTTCTTTTTTCTTTAGATGCTACTATGAAAATATTAAAATTACTTAATGTGCCTTAATTACATACTTAAATAGTTTAAAGTAATTATCTAATTTATATAATAGTAACATTATACATATAATCGAATAATAAGGCAATTATTTCACAACCATAACTATCACAACATCACAAGCACATCACTACAGCGACGCCATTTTTGCGTTGGATTTGATCGTGGTGTTTGTGTCGCCTGCTACGAGTTTTTGATTTTATAAACAAATGTAATTCGTTATTTTGATAAAACGTATTAAATCTTCGTGTGGTTATGAAATGCAATGTAAGAAAACAGTTTGTGTTATTACAAGTTCAGTAATTGTGATATTATTCTCTGCGCGGGAAATGTGACTACGTCCAATATCAATTTCGCTAGAGGACATTATTGGATAAATAAAGCTACAGTGCATAAGGTTATAACTCTACAACAATGATTCCAAATAAAGTACGTGAAAGCCGGAGAGTGAAATCCTTAAAACTCCCAAAAAGCCTGGAACGCTTGTATAAAGAAGGAAAATGTCGCGAGTGTTCAGTTGTTGTTACTCGCATGGATTTTGCCAAGATACTAGGCAAATTTACCAAGGTGAAAATACAGTACGAAAGCAGTACAACTCCTAAAACGAAACAAAATGTTGACTCGACTTTGCCAAATACGAACGCCAAATTAAGAAACACTGAGAATGGTATGGTCCTTGTCCATAGAAAAGCCTGTAGTCAACCAGATAAAGAGGTGTTGAATAGTAAAAAGACGAAAAATAACAAACTTGCGTCTCCAGTCGCAACAAATATATTAAAAGAAAACAACAGGTTAAAAAAACCTGTACTGAAAGACAAAAATTCCAATTATGAAGAGAAGAAACAAAAAAACGGCAGTAACTTGAAACAATACAACATTGTATTTGAAGATCCCTTGTGTAACAACAATAATAATGAAATTAATTTTAAAATTTCATTAATTGATTTATTACCAGATATTGATGATAATATACTTCCTTCCGAAGAATGGTGCATAGATTCCTTTCCCAAAAAAGATGAACCAAAAGATGATCAGGTGTATGATAGGATAGCCGCAGAACTAGAAGATCTCATGTACAATGAAAAACCGATAGCAAAATCTGAGGAAAAACAAGATGTCACGGAAAGCAAAGTGGATGACTTCCCATCAATAATGGACATCCTGAATGACAATAGTAGTGAGAGTAAATCAACTGACCAAAGTAATACCCTTGAATTTAAATCTAATTTAGAATCTAGTGATGTGGAAGCAATGCTCCTTGGTAAAACAAATGCTACATGTGAGACTGCTCCAACACCAATGGATGTTGACAACACTAGTATGGGTAATTTGATTGAAGATGTTAACCAACTCAGCACAATTCAAGAAACATTAACTACTAATAATGACACTTCTAATAACAGTGAGAGCACCTTACATAACTCGGTGATGCCAGAAGAGATTGACAACCCGCATAGTCCTTCCATTCTTGATGAAGCATTGCAAAAAGGTATTGAAGAACATTTACCAATTAAACAAGATGAGCCAGTACCAGAAAATGAAGAAACAGAAGATAAAACAGCTGTTGAAATAAGAGAAAATATAAATTCTATTTCAGCTACTGATATAGAAATGAAGGAAACTGAATCTAAGGTAACAGATGTCTGTACTGAGGACAAAAATCAGTGTAATGATAAAGTTAAAAGTAAGGAAACAAACTTTTTATCTATGAAGGAGGAAATCACACATATTGTGTTTAAAAAAACTAAAGAGGGTGCATGTTCAAAGTCTGTAACATGTCCAAAAAATTTAAAATACTGTATTGAAATTTCAGAAAAATCGGTTGAATTCTTAGGTGCACCAAAATATATCACAAGTTTAGAAGACTTAAAAGTGCTTTTGCAAATAGTAAATGAGAGTGAGTTAGATAGTCCCTATGTATTGCATTGAGTTATTCAACAGAATAGAAATACCTATATTATTATGTAAATATATTCTTATACTTACACAAATCTAAACATAGTTGAATCATTTCAACATTTAAAAATTAGTGCCTACCTAGATAGTTAGGAAATGACTAAAAAAACTGTTAAGTGTATTACATGATTCAATTTGCAATATTTATTATGACGTTACTGACAACACAACAATGAAATAAATATATCCTTAGGTCAATAACTTGTGGTAAAAGATGTTAAATCAGGTATAATATGACATCAAAGAATATAATAATTTTAAGTTGTCATTTATCAAGATGATATGTAATTGCTTAACAGTCTTCCTGGTTCAGAAAAATGAAGGTATATAATACTTTCGAGCTTTTAGTTAATGAAACAATCGAACTGGTACTGGTACCCTATGTAATTGGTCATCCAAAGCTTGGCAATACTTTGGCAATGGCTATAAATCAACAAGTTAACAAGATAGTGACTGGCATAATTTCATTAAAACGACTTTACCTGTCTTTTGTTAGTCTTGATATAAATATAATTGCAATTTATTGATTTCAATAATTATATTTTCATTACTTTAGTTTTTAGAAATTAAAATAACATTAATTTAGTTGATGAATTGTGTATGTTCATATAAGTTATTGAATTCAATATTACTGACTGTCGACAACACCATTAGCTGAAAGTAAGGATTAAGTTTTTGAACCCAAAAAACCTGATATAAAATATAATTGTTGCCCAAGACATAGTTAACACAATAAAAATAAAGAAAAATCAACTTAAATCAATATTACCACATTCTTTCTATTAATTTTTCGACTTTATTTTTTATTACATTCATAATTTTGAGTAGGTAGTTACAATAGCTTATAGATGTAATTTCAGTTATATTCAAATGGTTAGAATTTATATTTAAACAGGGCAACATTCTATACTTCATATAAGGTTCATAAAAATCTTTGAAGTTTAAATTGTATTGATAATTATTTTTTTCCCATATCTTATCTTAATATTTATTTCTTTTCCCAAAATACTAAGGAATTCAATTAAGGTAAATTGACCAGTAGAATTTTACTTATTTTATGCTGGCAACTATGCCATACCTGCTTCATCCTGAATATCTATGCTAAGTACCTATTTCGTAGGTAAAATTATTTTATCTACAAACACAGTACCTAATATTACGACGAATTAGGTTTCAACAAAGTACATAAATGTTATAAATATATTTAAAATTTGTATGTTGATTGCAATAAAATTCTCGAAATAAATCTTTATCATGAATATAAATGACATTTAATTATTCTGAACTTAAAACATCAAGAAGTTTCTTATCCGAGTGTCATGATTCAAGGTAATATTAAATTTCATACGAGGATAGTCCCAGGTACGCATAGGGTTGCCACAATGAAATTTGCATGACTATGTGCAGACGAGCGAATATTAGGAAGAAACCCACAATTAATTAACTGGTAGAGTCCATATGGGGGATTAATTTTTATATTTCCCAGTTACGTATACATACAAGTTTTATAGAAACACTCCGTACGCCACGCGATGTTTAAGTAGATGTTTACACAAATACCAAGTGGAAACTTTGATGAAAATTAGTTCCATGAAAAACGTATCTATTTTAAACTATATTCTTGTATCTAAAGATATTGATAGAAAGGCGAACATAATGTCATTTAGAAATGATTGAAGCACCAAAATGTTGGGTTATTTATGTGTGCGTGTGTATTGGTTTACCACGGTTACAGATGTCCTTCGTGTAGAATGTGTTTATGTTTTGCGTATAAGTGTATAGTAGTCAGGTGCCGCAATCATCGTTCCAAGAGACTGTGTACGCCTTTTTTATAATATTCTTGCTTGTGTCCTATAAAAAAAGAAAATTGTATGTATTTAGCTGACTTTTCAATTTAGGTACGCAACTACAAGTTGGTACAAGTCTAAATTAAATGAAGACACTTACTGAAAACCTCCTTCGAAGAAATCTAAGATTTACAGCAAGGACGTTGAAAAAATAGCGGACACAGTATCTTAAAATGACGACTGTGGCACTTAGCTACTATAGATTAAACACACATAAAAAACCACTGACATTTTGGTGCTTCAATCATTTGTAAGTAACTCATTGATTTACAGTGAGCAACTCAGCCAAAAAATTATGTATGGTGTTTTACTTATCTTCAGAAGCGACCTCATGAGGTAATCTTAGACTAAGATGTGTATTATATTAATTATAGGTGACCATTTTGTTAGTTTACTTAGTTGCGGTGTGTGTCAATCGGTTCTTACGCAATCGAAAACAAATTTAAATAGTTTGTGTTGTTTCAACGTCTCTAAAACTTAATTCTGCACATAAGGTTCTTATAAGATAAGGTGCGGGCCCAGTGCGGTTCCAACAGTGTGTCCATAACCTAAAACAAGAAACGACTGACGCGACACGTTGTTATTGTAAAGATATAAAAGAAAAATAATTTGTTTATTGGACCTGTTGTGAAAAGTTAATATAGGACGCACGTAATATACAGATTATGTTCCTCATAATTATTTAAATTTAAATCTTATCTAGTTACCTACGTAAAAATATCACACATGCCGAATAACGGCAATATTAATAGATAATTTAAATAACCCTTATTTAAATTATTATGTATTTTAATATAATTATTAAATATTTGTAAAATTTTGTCTACCAGCTGTGTTTGATAAAATAAAAACAGTTACGACAGCTGTACTTAATGCTGATTAAGTGCTGTCGTAACTGTCATTATTTGAGACTGTGGGTAGTAGGCGTAATAATTATGTTTGTAATTCAACGTTGAATATAGAGGCTCTTTCAATTTAGGCGGTTGGTGTCGGACGACAAACTTATGACAGCGTGTTATAACCAGCCACACGTTTACCGTCAACGTTCCTGCACACGAAGCCGTCACCGTAAAGCTTGTTCCCTCTGTTTGATTCATTTCGTGCGCATGTTCGTACGCGGCTAGTAATAGAATGAATCAAACAATGGGTACGCGCGCGGCGGCGGCGTAATGGCGGCCTTCGCGCGATTCGTACCTACAGCATAGTAAATTGTGTGGCGTCGGTGCGGTGGGTGACGGCATCGTGTGCATAACCCTTATATTTTTGATTTGACTTATCAAATCCTATACCTACTTATCTATGCACTAAACATTACTAATTAATTAAGAAACGAACGTAAAATTTGTTGATTTTATTGTAAGAAGGGGTACGTAAGGTACATCCGGAAATAAAATAGCTTGCCCCATAAGGCGCAGGAAGGCTCTCGCTTCCAAATTCTTAAGAAAATATTCGTCTTAGATATAGATAATTTTGATGCGTGAGGGAGAGAAGACACTACGTAGGTATTTAGTAGCATAGGTGAGATTTGACAGTTCTAGGTACTCTGTTTAGTAAGTATCGAAGATCGTCTAATATCAGTTAGTTTGTAATTTATTTGTATTAATTTAGGTTGTATTTTCCATGCTATCTTGAGATGATTTGAATTTTGAACCCTATTCAATACTCTTTTCACTCAAGGTAACAATATGTTTGGGCAGTCAGTGGGCAGATACTTTTTCAGGTTATTGTAGTACATAGTTACATAATAAGTATTGACATTTATTTAGGTATAGGTATTTAGTAGGTAGCTAGGAAGTAACAGGTTGTCCTACATTATTTTCGCTATCTTAAGCATTGAGTGGAGAATTTGCTGGGGTTGCCAGATTTCATGAATCTGATTGTTTGCAATAGGTACGAAACGTAATAAGACTCAATGTCAAAAATTGTAAACCATTTTGATGACTTCAGCCATTCACAATTTCACATTCAGATTTGATCAAGGGCTGTTTTTATCAAAGAATATATTTTTGTTTTTATCTGATTTTTTGCAACCATGTGTTCTTAAATTTTCTATGAGGTAGATACATAAGTAGGAATTAGAAAAGTTGTTAAAAAGTTAACAAATAAATACACATGTTTATTAGTGCATATTTAATTGTTATAAATACTAATGGTAAAAAATTGCTTACTTACATTGTAAATATTTTAAGAATTTAGCTTACGATTAATTTGTTTAATAAAATAGTATAAAACTTCCAGGAGTGTTTTATTTATCAATTTATAAATTACAATAGAGCATATTTATAGTCCTTTTTGAAGGCGTCGAATTTGCGCGGGTAACTCGTTTGGGTGCCCTCTTTGGTGACAGACATTGTAGCCACTTGACATGCAGCACCTATGATTTGATGCATAGGTTTATCCTTATATGTCACTAAATATGTTGCCAATGCTCCCACAAATGCGTCGCCAGCGCCCTACACATAAAACAAATTGTATATTATCAATATTATATAAACAATGATTGTATATTATCTGAATATATTTGTACATAAATAAAATATGATAAGTATAAGACAATGCAACATCAAAGCTGTAATATCATACTTATTTGAGTGTATATAATTATTTGGTAATGATGGGACAATAGAGTGGAGTGTTACTCTTTTAGGCACAAATTTAGGGCCCACCTTTATAGTATACACACTTTAACACAGAAAAATACATACTGTAGTATCAATGGCATTGACCCGCTCACTGAAGACATGTATTGGTTGCTGATCAATTTTGGACATGTAAACTGCTCCTTCAGGTCCCAAAGTAATGATCACAGATTCACATCCAGTATCAAGTAATTGTTTCAGGATATCAACTGCATTTCTGTAAAGGAAATTTATTATTTCTGCAACTAGAATAATAATGAGTTATTGTTGTTCTAAGATTTCATAGTTACTTACTTAATATCAAATTCAGTGTTAGTTAGTAAAGAAGCTTCAGGTTCATTGACACAAAGTATAGAACAATAAGGCAATATTTCTGTAATGTCTGATCTTGCTGGTGCTGCATTCAGAAGTTTTATCTAGAAAAGTAATGAAATGTAATGTTATAAAACATTAAAAAAGGTTAATTGACATAATTCATTGTTTCCACTTACTCCTTTGCCCAGTTTAAAAGCTTCTAATGTAGTTTCGAAAGGAGTCTCTAACTGGCCAATAAGTACTTCCGCATTAGTGATCAAATCAGCGGAATTTTTAACATCTTCCTTACTTAGACAGTTGTTTGCTCCTGGTACAATCACAATTTGGTTTTCTCCACTTTCTGCAACTGATATTTGAGCAATACCTGTTGTTACATTTGGAGTAATTTTGACATGAGTAGTATCTACTCCAACTTGTTCCAAATTATCCCTGTATTTGTCACCCCACTGATCATTTCCGAGCTAAAAGTAAAAATAATAATATGTTATAAATAGTATGTTCTACAAATATTAATAAAATAAATTTTACTTTCCCCACAAAACTGAAGGGTAAACGGTGAAACTTACCCTACATATCATGGAGGTTTTCCCTCCCAACTTAGCAGCTGCGACACATTGATTGGCACCTTTGCCTCCATAGCTTGTTGTAAATTTGTTACCAATGAGTGTCTCCCCTGGTTTGGGCAATCTTGGTGCATATCTACAACACAATAGGAAGTAGGTAAGTAGGTATATGAAGCAATCTTTTTCCTTACTTTCGTTTTTAAAATATTATCTTTTGATATTTTATCATTTAGGTTGAAATTCAAATCATATTTATTTATATGGACAATATAGAAATTAATTTTGCAGTCACATTTCTTAAAGTTTATGCTGCTATATCAGTTATATTATGTAACTTTTATCTGTATTCTCAACTGTTTTAAAAACAAAGTGATAGTCGAACTTGAAAACACAACATATAAATCGTACGTACGTAGTAAAATCAACACCGCAAGATCCAATTACTACAATTTTTGACATTGTGTCTATACTTTTTCCTTATATCGATAGTACGACTATGTTTTGCAATTCACAAATGCAATAAATGCGACAGTTTAGTTACTTGTGCCACCGATATGAACACAATCTTGAGAAAACTCATTTACTTACGTATCATAACTACTTCACACTTGTTATTCTGGTCTTGATAATAAATTCATAATGATAAGAACTTTACAACTCCAACCAGTCACTCAGTCAGTCCGTTATCATTTATCACTGTCATTTATATTTTATATGACATTGACAGTTATGACAGTAATCGATGCATAACAGGCAGGGAACTATTGTTGGGAACTTGGGCAACCAAGAATAACAAAATTGATTGATTACAGATGCGTTCATGGAAAGACAAACGTACCTAATTACCTATAAGTAGGGGCGTATTAAACCTAGAGAGCGCCCTAGACACACACCCCATAAGCACCACTGCGCCACCGGCGCCACTCTATTGGAACTTTGGCAGTTGGCTTTGGGTGCTCTCTGCAACCTGGCGCCCTGGGCTCTTGCGTATTTTGCCTTAGAACAATACAGCTCTGACTATAAAGGCACTAGTTTAGAACGTTGCTATAAGATTACAATGCAAAGTCAAAGAGATTGTTAAGATGACGATGCGTCTAATAAGATCTGCTAGGCTCTGCGGATCTGCCTAATCTTTTCTTTTGATGAATAGAAAGCGTGATGTCTAGTGAACCACTATTAGCAAATTAGCGATTGGCGAATGCGCTACTTATAGATAGCACGTGTCACGTGACTTGGGCAACATCGTGCCTTCTATTTCCCAAAGCGTTGGGCACAGTTTGGTAAATCTTCAAGTATTGAATACATAAATGTACCATCATCATGTCACAAGTAATAGTATATGTAGAGTAAATGTGGAGCCTCCACATTAGTATTATCTCCTGTGTCGTGGGTGCTTTTACATTACAAACATACAAGTTCACATACACATGACACCCAGACCAATCCAGACTCGAAACAAGAATTTGTGGATCTCACAAAGACTTGCTCCCTGCGGGATTCGAACCGGCTACACGTTACGCGACAGCCGGTTACCCAGCCAACCGTGCATTCGAAGTTATCGACATACTTAGTCCCGAGAAGTTAGGTGGAGTGATGATAAGGCGACCAACTTTCTGAAAGTCTAATGCGGGACTTTTTGTAGATAAAGTCTAGTCGGTACACCTGCAATTACATCGGATCGAAGTGCAGGAGTAGGAACGGGGTCGTTTTTAGTCAGTAAGAGTCTGACACTCCCTTCCGCCTCACCCAGGCGGGAGAATTCATTCGATGATTAGGAGGGGGGGGGGGGGGCTAAAAAAACACCTAGGTACAATTACATAAAAACTTATACACAAAAGTTATTTAACTATTAATAAAATCGTATTTATCTCTAGAGCGACACTTTTTAAGAAGTTCCGGATGTTATTGAGTAGGTATGTCATGAAAATCTTCTTAACTTCCCATATTAAATTTAAGGACAAGCAGAGCACGTAGTGTTTTCACTTTTAGTGACGATTTTTCCGATCTTCATTTATTCGCGCTGTTGTTAGTGCACGTATGGTGGTGTCGTGTAGTATGAAATGAAAAAAAAAAGAAATGGGCATGCGGGACTTGCGGGACGCATCTAACGTTTTATGGGACTATTTTATAAATTATTTCAAAGCGAGATTACATCTAGCATTACGGGACGGTCCCGCAAAATACGGGACGGTTGACCGCCTTAAGTGATGATATTCACAAGGCAGCTGGTGGCAGTCAGATGCGTAGAACTGCGGATCGAGCATAGTGGCGTGCCATTACAGAGGCCTATGTCAAATCAACGTGAAAACGGGCTGATGATTTTCCATAATAATAATAATCACACAGCTGTGCTGGTTAAGACTCAATGCTTACACAGGAGATATTTTATATTCTTGAAGAGATAATAAACATTTGTTAAACCCACAAATGAACGGAGCCACGGAGAACCTAACGGGTTACTGGGGCTCTATCTCGAAGTGCAGGAGGGAACGTGGTGGTTTTTTGTCAGTAAGAGTCTGACCCCACCTCACCCAAGCGGGAGAAGTCATTCGATGATTTTCCCCCATTAAAAAAACCCACAGATGAAAAAGTTTTATGCTTTAAAAGGAAAAAGGATTAGACAAAGGTAGGCTACACTAAGGTAGGTTTTTGGGATAGATAGGCTGTTTAGGTATGTACCTCTAGTACATAATGTAATATTTTTCTTTTAATTAATTAACTTAGCTTAGACCTATCAAATATGACATTAAAATACTTTTATTTTGTTATAACTTTATAATTCTACATTATTTACCTTAAAATAAACATAATATTATTATTGACAATTTAGCTGATGTTTGGTTTTTCATGGGCTTCATTTATTTTGCTGTCTGTGTTTTGTGTAGCAACTTCTTTACCAATATTTTTAGCCATCTGAGCAATCTTTGTTTGTCTGTATTCATTTTTTGCTGCATCAAGTAAAACATTTTGAATTAACAGCCTATTGTTGGACTTGTTATTCAATAGGTCTGGATATGGATTTCCTCTCAGTTCTAATACTACTTTATCTAATGAACGACCATATTGTGGCCTCGGTGCATTATACAACCTTGTATACGATAAGTTTGTGTTTTCATATCTTGGTACTAATACTTTAAATAGTTTATGTACAAGTTCCTTTTCAAGAAGCCAGAAGTCTGCTGTATCCATGGTTGGTTTGTGACAGTCACCATGGCGTATGGCTTCGGATATGAGCTGAAACACATTAAAAATTTTGTTAGTTTTCAAGAAAGTGATTTCTTTATCACAATACTATTAAACTATAATGTCTTAATTTTGTAGGTTTAACAGATACATACTCGTTCCGCATATTGGCGTGCTTCATCACCTCTATTATAGTTTAATTCAATCCTTTCAAATTTTATTAGTCCCGTTACTGTTTTACGCAATTTATCAATCCTTCCTTCAGGACCCTTAGGACCCGGAAGATTCCGATGTCTAGGTAAGACCTTCACACGAAGTTTGGAGACCAATTTTGATATATCTGCTTGATTCATGTCGTTTTATAAGCGAGACGTACCTATGGTGTAAAAACTTTATTAAACTAATTTTACCCTTGTTTATTTTTTTAGGTTAGATTCCACCATAGACAATATTATGAAGAAATCAAAGTCAACAATGACACTTATAAAAATTTTTACTAAATTAAATATCAGTCTTTTGCTACGATAGAATATTATCATCAAGTAGGTATCAAGAAAGTAATTACTACCTACGGCGAGGATTAAGAAACATGTTAGTTAAATATCTGTTTGAACTTGATAGTACGTATTTATTTTGTGTTAAACTTCTCCTTACAATTAAAATAATCAAAAGTTAAAATAATTTGAAAATAATGGATTCATCCATTATTTTCAAATTATTCATCATTATATTAATGGATTCATCCATTATTTTATAATAAGTATAGGGGTTCGGTAGTTGGGCAACTGGCCTCCGCGCAACGTGGTGGGGGTTGATTCCCGAAAGGAACAACTCTTTGTGTGATCCACAGATAGTTGTTCCGAGTCTGGGTGTAATGTGTATGTGAACTTGTATGTTTAGAAACTCACCCACGACCAGTGTTGCCAACCCCAAAAAACAAAAAAACAACAACTCACTTAAAAAAAACAGTAGAAAGCAGTAGGTAAAGAAAAAGCGCTCATTTCATGTTTTTGGTAATATAATTAAGTAATGAATACCTAATTGTTTAAGTGACTAGAACTCACATTCAAATGAATAGCAATCGGTTATTTCGGATTTTGTCCTTTAATAGTTGTAGTCGATGTTCTGATACGTAGGTAATTTGATTTTCGTAATATTTATAGCAGAAAATAACCTTTCTACGACGGCACTGCTATGTGGTCCTACTGTGGTAGGCACAAAAGCTTTTTTACTATGTAAATCACACAACGCAAGGAACGTTTGAGAGTCTCCTCCATTCTTTAATTCTTGTCCATGTTTCAAAAATCGATAGTATCGGGAATTTTGTTTTGGTAGAAAGAAAACAGTAGAAAATAAGAATGAAACAGAAAACATGGACATCTAAGCAAAAACAGCAAATCTACTGTTAAAACAGTAGGGTTGGTAACAGTGCCCACGACACAGGAGAAATTAGTAATGAGGCAGTGTTGTGTTTTTTTTTTAAAAAGACAAGTTATTATTTACGAACCCTGTAAAAGTTGTGGTAGTATTTTGACAATGACAATATAATGTCAAATTAACTGCATTGAATTGACATTGACAACAAGCACTTCACCTATTAAAAACAGCGCTTGATGAAAACGAATTCTTGAGAGTAGTTGTAACTGTGAAAACGTCATTGCTTGTTTTTCTTATCGGTAAAGTTATAAATATAACAATAAAATGGACTTCAGCAGTCACTTCATAAGATAAACATTCGGGATGGGATTGCATTTATTCGTTTCGTATTATAGAAAAATTGAAGATTTAATAATTTTATCTTGGCAGTGGTGAAAGACATACGTGTTTGTGTGTGTGTTTTTTTTTTCAAATTAAATATTTTTTTCAAATCTGAGTTGAAACCATCCTAGTGTTGTGATACACTAAAAAACTATTGGTAACGTGGGCAAAATATTCCCTAATACTCTTTTTCTTTAATTATATATTTTTTTCGGTGCATCTGCACTTTTTAATATGGATACTAAAAAACCTCCCGACCCTCCAGATAATATGTTTGAGTACACCCCTCTAATGACTATCACCGTCCCCAGCACCGATGATGCTGACAATAGTTTAAATAGGAAAAGACCTGCACATTCTCCACCAGTTACTATAAATAACCCACCCAAAGTGGCAAAAGTTAACGGTAGACAGTGCTATACACCCAGTGACGCTCCTCCGTATATTGTTCATGTTTCTTTGAGAGATTCTCAAACCTCAGGCACAACCCTACACCCTGTGAAATTTGGCATGTTCTTGATGAAGAACAACATAAAAAATGTACGGATGGATGGTGTCAAAAGATTAGGACGAAACAAAATTTCAGTGGAATTTAAGTCACACCAAGATGCTAACAGCTTTTTAATTAATGGAGTCGTAGCCCAACAAAATTACATAACATCCATTCCACTGTTTAACATCACACGTATGGGTATTGTGAGAGATGTCCCTGTGGACTGGACTGAGGAGGAAATTGTCGAAAATATCAGGGTCCCTTCTGGATGTGGCAATGTTATCAAGGCAAGGAGAATGAATCGGAAAGTGGTTTCTTCTGATGGTTCAGAGTGGAAACCTACACAAACGGTGGTTCTCACATTTGATGGGCAAATTTTGCCAAAACGAGTTTACTGTTTTTACACTGCTCTTACAGTAGAAAGGTACACATATCCCACAATACAATGTTTTAACTGCTGCCGCTTTGGGCACACACGTACCTTATGCCGCTCAAAGCCTCGTTGCTTCAGATGTGGCCAGGACCATCCTGGTGATGGATGCCTGGTTTCAGAGGAGATTGCAACCTGTGTAAACTGTCATGGTAATCACTTTGCCAGTAGCAATGTATGCCCTGAGCTAGGCCGTCAGAAGAGCATAAAGGCTCTCATGGCGGAAAAATCGATTTCGTATGCAGAAGCGAGTCAGGTCTTTCCCACCATCAAGAGGTCATATGCAGAGGTTTCAAAATCTTTTAATCAACCTAAACCCAAACTGCCTCAACAGAACTATAATACTTCCCAAACTCCCAAATCTTTACGTAAAACTGTCTTTTTAAAACCTAAATCTCATGCCCCGCTGTCTCCTAGTTACGATAAGCAAGCTCATCGAGCCCTTATCAACAATTATTCCTTTTCCCCATCACAAAATGGTTGCGCCTATCCTTTGGAGGGTGAAAACAACCATAATCCTAGAAATATTTTAAACATTATCACTAATATGCTTATGGCAGTATTAGAAAATCCTTCACATAACATACCTGACCACGTTGCCGACAAACTGACCAACATCCTACAATATCTTGGTAACATTCCATCCCCTAACATTCCTTCAATGGAACGCGAGGAGTATTCTTCCGAAGAAAACTGACCTAGTCCATTTAATAAATAGATACAAACCTCTGGTATGTGGCATTGCTGAGACGTGGCTTAGACCGGATTCTAATTTCCGGGTGCCGGGTTTTAACAGTGTCAGGTATGATAGACCAGATGGTTATGGAGGCTGTGCTTTGTTTATTAATAGCAAAGTACAGTACTCTATTATATCTTTACCCTTTGTTAGTGATGACATTAATGCTGTTGCTGTTAAGGCTAAGGATATAAACATTTTTGCTTTTTATATTGCACGCCCACACATTAGTCATTTACAGTCAATTAAACATTTTCTAAATACTGTTAGTGGCCCATTACTAGTAATGGGTGATTTTAATTGTCATCATTATAGATGGGGTTCAGACATGTGTGACAGTATAGGCACAGAATTATTAGAGATCATAGACGAGCTTAATCTATGTATCATTAATGATGGCAGTGCTACACGTAGGTCTGCATTCGGTCAAAGGAACAGCTGTGTCGACTTGACCTTTTGTTCTCCCAACATAGCTAGCATGACGGACTGGAGGCGCTTGGATATGTCCTATGGTAGTGACCACTATCCCATCATAGTCACAAACCACTCCAATCCCACGCTTGATAAATCCCTTCCTCCATTGTTAAAATATCGCTTAGAATCAGCAGACTGGGATCTTTATTCCAGACTACTGGATTTCCGTATCTCTTCCCTTCCACCTATTCATGCTGAGAACGCATCAGAGTGTTTCTCTAGCTTCTCGGAAATAATATCTACCACTGCTGCAGATTGCTTCCCGACTAAAATTCCACCGAAAGGTAAAATTGCCCTCCCGCCGTGGTGGGATAGTGATTGCACTGCCGTAATTAAGGCCAGGAATGAAGCTGAAAAGACGTATAACCGTGACATGAGCCTGGGCAATCTCATATCTTTCAAACAAGCATTGGCAAGGTCAAGGAAATTATTAAAAAAAAGAAAAAGCAAGGCTGGCGGAATTTTTGTAATGCTTTGAGTCCATCGACTCCAGTAACAACTGTCTGGCGAAAAGTCAAGAGTTTCAGAAACTGCACAAGACCACCTTCTGTTTCCATGCTATCAGAAGATCTGTACCATAGTTTTTTCTCAAACGTTGCTCCCTCATATGTCCCTGAAGAGGAAGAGTGCGAAATAGGGGACTTGTTATGTTCTTGTGATCCTCTTGACGTAACATTCTCTATGGAAGAACTTGAAACAGTTCTGAACCACGTCAAGGACTCTGCTCCCGGTATAGATGGTTTCCCGTACTCATTTATAACGAAAAGCGGGGCTAAAACACGGTGGTACTACCTTACCTTGGCCAATTTTTGTTTCACTTCCGGTTACATTCCCACAGCATGGAAGGTTCAGGTTATTATGCCTATATTAAAACCTGGCAAAGACTCTAGAGATCACTTGTCTTATAGACCGATTGCATTGTCGTCCATACTCCTCAAAATCTTTGAACATTTAATAAAGAACCGTCTAGAGTGGTTGGTAGAGAGCCGGGAGATGCTTCCGGCGACTCAGTTCGGTTTCAGAAAAGGTTTAGGCACTGTTGATAGTGTGGGTACCCTCACTTCAGCGATCCGGCTGGCTCTTTGCAGGGATGAGTCGTTGGTGGCAGTCTTCCTGGATATCTCTTCAGCATATGATTCTGTACTTCTACCCCTTCTCAGGCGGAAAATGCAAAAGCTGAAAATTCCGAGTGGGATTATACGAATTATTTGCTGCCTTCTTACCAATCGCACCCTTCAATTAAGAACTCCTGAGGAGAGCCCTGCACGGCGAATTGCCTGGAGGGGCTTACCTCAGGGATCAGTTCTCAGTCCTATCCTATACAACATATATACCTTTGATCTCCCTTCCTGCCTAAACTTTGATTGTAAATCTCTCCAGTATGCTGACGATATTGCACTGATGGTCACTAGTCATTCTATAGTCGATGCCACTTTCTCTGTGAATGTCTCTTTGGCTTCATTAAACCAATGGCTACTTGATCATGGACTATCTTTGAGTGCTCCAAAGAGCTCTGCTGTTGTGTTTACACGTAGACGTCGTACCCCAGATCTAAATATAAGTATTAACGGTCAGATTATTCCCATTAAGGCGAAGGCCAAATTTCTAGGAGTTACCCTCGATTCCAAGATGTCAGGTGTGGATCACATTGATTCGGTAACTAAAAAAATTGAACGCACCGTATGTATCCTCCAAGCTTTAGCCGGGGTATGGTGGGGTGCACACCCATACACTTTAAAGTTAGTCTATAACGCTTTGGTTAGGAGTGTGTTGGATTACTGCTGTTTCCTGATTATACCTTGTAACAAGGGAGCACTGCGAAAGCTAGATTATATCCAAGCCAAATGCCTTAGGACTATTATTGGAGCAATGAAATCATCACCCGTAAATGCCCTACAAGTGGAATGTGCTGAACCACCTCTTGATCTTCGTCGGCAGTACCTCGCAGATCGTTTCATATCAAAAGTCCTCTCCCGATCATCCCATCCTCTACTTCCCATTTTGGATCAAATTCTCCTCTCCTATGATTCCTCTCCATACTGGCTCCACAAACCTATACCCCCAGTGATTGTCAGATACAGAGAGCTTAAAAATCTTTCGGCCTCTGTCAGTCAATTCCCAATTCTCCCTGTATTCTCTTCTGCATACGAAGCCATCCATTTTAAACCGAAACTTGTTCTGGGGTTAGGTCTTTCAAAATCTTCGGCAAACATTGTTGGAAACTTTGAGCGGGCACTGGAAGTGTATTGGAAGGGCTGGAATGTGTTCTACACTGATGCGTCAAAGTTGACTCAAGAGGGTTGTACAGGGGTGGCAACATATTTTCAGAACTCCAGAATAACTATGCTTTTTAAGTGTCCGCCAGAGGCTTCAGTTTTCACGGGAGAATGCGTTGCAATCTTGGAAGCTGTGAAATTTATTAGAAGTCATAATATTAAAAATTCTGTAATTTTTTCAGATTCCCGTAGTAGTATTCAATCTTTAGGTCAAAATCAGTTACACACCAAAATCCATAGCCAGCTAGTTGTAGATATTAAACACCTCCTTTGGTGTTGTCATAATGAAGGGCTTAATATCGAAATAGTTTGGATCCCTGGCCACTCTGGCATACGCGGAAATGAATGTGCTGATGCGTTGGCTAAGTTTGCTACGTCAGGTGATGTGGAACGCCATCATTTTGTTATACCCGGCTATGATATCCGAGCCGACACAAAGCGAAAGCTCTATGACACGTGGTCTTCAATATGGAAAAGTACCTCACAGCGTAAAGGAGCTTACTACGCTTCCGTCCAACCTAGCATCCAGAGGAAACCTTGGTTTTTTAAATTTCGTAAAATCCCAAAACAAGCAGTCACGTCCTTGTGTAGACTTAGACTCGGCCACTGCAGTAGTCCAGTTTTTTTGTACAAGATTCACATTCGTGACAACTCTGTATGCGAATGTGGTCTTGATGAGGGTACCCTCGAACATATATTTTTTTCTTGCTCCATAAACTCCCAATATCTAGACCTCTATAGAGAACTCCCTAATATTAAAATTCCCCTCCCAATTAATTTTCGCTCACTATTAACCAATTTTTATCCTAAACTCATTAACCTTTTGGCAAAATTCATTATTAAAAATAATATTAAAATCTAATATATAATGAGAGTACCTAATATAATATAGTGAATGTGCTTTAAATTTAAATGTCAATGCCATTTTTTGTCCCTTTTCTATTTATATATATAATCTGTAATGCCCACACCTGCCGTAACACATGACGCTGGCAGAATAGTCAACTACTAAATAGTGGAGACTCAATTGCCATAGAAGAAAAAAAAAAAAAAAAAAAAAAAAAAACAGCGCTTGAGTGATTAATCCGCAAACTGTTTTCATGTTTAAAATAATATTTACATTCTCCTGTTACTAGTTAATTATATAATGTAGATTTTAGTTTAGATTATTAAAAAGTGCACTGTGCAGGGCTGAATATTCTGAACAAATGTCGAGTAAATTCGAAACCATGTCTACTATAAATCGCAAAACAACCGCAGAAGATTCAGGTGTTTACGATTTACTAACCGAATTATGCACCAAAACGGCTTCTAAATACTGCAGTCAGAATAGATTATCACAGAAGCGTCTAATGGCTAAGATGAGATCGAATGCATATGAGATAATACTGAAAAAATCTAATAAGGATTTCTCGTCTTCAAAAGGCGAGCCCGTAGTGGACTTGCTGTCCTATTACTTTATGTCTCAACAAAATGCACGAACCGTTGCTGAGTATAAAAGAACAGTGGAGCTGAAGCAAATAATTAGCACAGTCCGCCAAACAGACTTTGGAGATAACAAAGACATTATTTATAACATACTACGGTTCCTAATAGGACTTAGCAATACGGTCAAAGAGGATTTGTCAGCTGAAATGTTTCAGGTACAGAATTAGACATATTCTATGTTTTTCCTGTAAATATTGTGTTTTATTCATATAAACTTATAATATCATTATTATAAGTTTACTCACAAATAAGTAATTTCCATGGAAACAAAGAGAAATATTGATCTAACATGGTATAAATATTCAGTCAGATTTACACGTTTATTTCATCATCAATTAAAAATGGTCGTTCCAATATTGTTATAGTACTTATAAACACAACTATAAATAATTTAACATTAATTTACAGAAACCATTTACATTCGGCCTCCTTGATGAAATGCTGCCTAAACCAAAGAAGGAGGTGTTTGGTTCACCACAGCCCTACTCATATTTCCCTTCACATGTATTTGAGTTGCCATTTTCCTTGAAGAAACAGGCTGACAAGCGGGTGTTGGACAGTCGGAAGTCTCAATCTTATACTGAATATACTGTGGAGAGTTTTGATTCTAAATCTTGTAAGTTTTTAAACAATGTTATTGTACTGTGTGTTTGATTTAATATGTTAGAGATAATCTTTTAATGGATTATAGTGTAATAATTTCCAATATTTTGGTTGAAGTAACTATTACTGTAGCTGACACATTTACTTGCAATAAGGGGTGGAAATTGTAAATGTTGTATTAGATTATTTATTCATATTCATATTCATATTCATTTATTTGCGTACCATAAAGTTAATAAGATGTTACAATAGGCTTAAAGCTAAGTACATTTATGGACCCTGTAAGGGCACAGCAATATTTTTTAAGATTTACAATAGAAGAATTACAATGATGCCTAAATCAAATTTGAACAATCATAATTAAACTAAAATAATCAAAATCAAATTAAAATAATTAAAATCAAATCACAATAACGAAAATCAAATTAAAATAATCAATAGGTATGATAAGTCAAATTCAAAGGAAAGTCAATAAACATTAAAACAAAATTCATCCATAACAAACAATATCTCATCAATAATATAATATAATTCAAATAGTAGGTACTCTAAAAATTATTGCATTTTGTCATTCATGTATTCATTTATGTTATAATACCCTCTGTCTAATAGAAATAGCTTTAATTTGTTTGTAAACATGTTATATTTGTTAATATTCTTCAAGTGTTCCGGTAGTTTATTATATACCTTTATTGACATTACATGTGTACCTGACGAATGCATTTTAAGTCGTGAAATTGGCATGTTTATTCTGTTTCTATGTCTTAGAGTGAATCTGTTCTGTATTTCTTCTCGTTTTGTGTATAATTCAGGATATTGGCGTACAAATTTACAAATTTCAAATATATAAAGACAAGGCAAAGTCAACACCTCCAGTTGTTTAAAGTGAGGCCGGCAACTTTCAGTTTCATCTATGTTGACTAGTATTCTCACAAGCTTTTTTTGGATGGTGAATAATGAGGGTGCGTCGGTACTATTCCCCCATAAAATGACACCATATTTTAGCCATGCATAAGCGTACGCGTAATACGTGACCAGGGCTGTTTTAAGGTCTGTAGTTTTTTTAATTTCGCGAAGGGCATATGCAAACTTTGATAATTTCATCCTCAGTTTTTGGACATGGGATTTCCAATCAAAGTGTGAATCTATATCCAAGCCTAACAAAGTGAACCTACTGACTGTTTCAAGTTTGGAGTCCTTATAAATAAAACTTAAATTCAACGGTAATTTTTGGCGGGGATGGAAGGTCATTATTTTGGTTTTGCTGTAATTTACTTCTAGATTATGTTCCGTTAACCAATTTGTCGTATCGTTCAGTATGGAATTTAATTTATTATTAAGGTTAGTAGTATAGTCATATGCGGTCATTATGGATATGTCGTCCGCAAACAAAACACAAGGTTCATTTATATGGTTTGGAAGGTCATTTATATACACAAGGAAGAGAAAACAACCAATAACGCTTCCCTGCGGTATAGAAGCTTTGATTTGTAAGTATTTTGATCGGACTAATTCTATTTCGCTTGTTTTTTTATTATAATATTGCACTTCTACGAGTTGTTCTCTGTTTTGTAAGTAGGAACAAACCAATCAAAACATTTTCCGCGTATTCCTATGTTATGCAGTTTATTTAACAGTATTTGGAATTGTACTTTATCGTAGGCTTTGGTCATGTCTAACAGCAAGCCTATAGCGTATTTTTTATCGTTTATGATACTAAGTGCTTTTTGTACGTACTTGTATACTGCTAAGGTAGTGGATCGATTCTTTCGGAAACCGTTTTGACTATCATTAAATATTTTATACTTTTCACAAAACGCGTATACTCTGTTACACATGGCTTTTTCGAGTATTTTTGATGCTGTAGGTAAAAGTGCAATTGGTCGGTAATTACTTGGGTCGGTTTTTGAATTTTTTTTGTGTATTGGTTTGATAAGAGCTTTTTTTAAGAGGTCAGGGAACACTCCTTCTTCGAACGATTGATTGATTAGTTTGTAAAATGGCAAAGTAAGCTCATCTGCACACTTCTTCAATAAAGTTGGGGGAAGGTCGTCTATACCGTGGCTTAATTTGTTTTTTAAGTTTTTTATTAATGTGTTGACTTCAGATGGATCTACTGGGCTTATGAAGACACTATTCTCTGTAGAGGAGACAACAGGACGGATTCCTTTATTTTTAGTGTTTGTTTGGATCGTTCCAGTTTCTCCAATAGAAGCGAAAAAAATGTTAAATATATCAGCTATCTCTCCTGGTTCCGAAGTTTGACCATCGTTTGTTTGCAGAGTCATATTATTGTTTTCACGTTTCATTTTTTTATTTGTTCGTTCGTTTACAATTCGCCACATTGCCTTTATTTTATTATTTGAGTTTCGAATTTCATTTTTAAAATGTTGTTTTTTTGCTATCACTATAGCCTTTTTTAATATTTTCTCGTAATTTCTATAGTACTTTGTCAGAATTGGGTTTTTAGTTTTAGTTACTAGTATTTTTAGTAACCTTTTATTTTTACAAGATTTCTTTATTCCTTTAGAAAGCCAATATTTATTATAATTCGTTCTAAGTTTAATTTTTTGTAATGGTATACATTCATTCAGAATTTTTATTAGGGTGTTATTGAAAGCTTCATAATTTTTGTTAATGCTTTGTCCCGGTATTATAATTTCATTCCAAACTTCATTCTGTAATTGAGTTTTAAACAGTTGTATATTTTTATTGCTAAAGAATCTTTTTTTTGTATGCCAATTTGTTTGTTTGGTTTGCTGGGGTATATTTAAATGTAAAATCGTACCATTATGATCTGAGAATCCCAATTCTTCTACTGTTGTGTACATGCCATCAAATTTGAAGTTTGTGAATATCAAATCTATGCATGTTTTTGTTGTAGGTGTGGTGCGTGTTGGTATTTTAATGTGTTGTGTTAATTTATATTCCTGCATTAAATCTAATAACCGATTTGTTTTTAAGTCATCGGATAGAATATCGATATTGAAATCACCTCCTATAACAATATTTAATTTTGGGTATTTTATGTTTACATATATTAGTACTTCCTTTAATTGTTTGTAAAAAGCTTCTTCTTCCCTTCTGTTCCAGTACATAGTTATGAGTAGTAAATTTTCATTTGGTAATTCAGTTGCGCATATCTCCAACACATACTCTATTGACATATCTGTTATGTCTTTTCTTTGTATGGAGTTAATATGATCTCGGATTAATATACTAACTCCTCCGCCCGTTCGACTGTTGCGGCAGTAAGATGCTGCGAAATTGTATCCACTAAAATGTATTAGATCCAGCTTCTCTTGTGAAAGCCATGTCTCCGAGATACATATAGCTTTATATAATAAATTTTGAGTAATAAAAGATTCAAGTATTTCCTGTTTATTGTAAAGACTTTGCATGTTCTGAAATAGTACTTTAAATGTTGGGTCCCCGTTTACGAAATGTATTGTTTTTATTTTCCTCCATAGTGATTGAGTGACAGAGTTGACTAGAGTTGTCCACCGTAATATCGATATCCTGTGCTGTTGTTGAATTTAGCTGTTGGTTTTGTTTTAAGCTGTCGCCTTTTATATGAATTGGTTTTCCTTCTATGTACAGTTTATTACTTTTTATTATTGCATGTAATCCATTTTTTCTGGCCTTGTATAGCTCTTCTCGCATTTGTGCTCTCTCTTTCCGTGCGTTTGCGTCCAAGAATTCCGACAAGAATACTCCCGTTCCCTGGAAACACTGGCTGTTACTTATTATGTACTTGACCATTCTTTTGCTAAGTAGCTCAATAATTAATGGACGGCTCTTTTTGCCTTTTTTACCCACCCTGTACATATCTTCGATATAACCTGAAAGGTCAGTGTTCATAACATCACGAAACAGATCTATAAGTCTGTTATGGAGCTCATATTCAGGTTCTTTATAATATTCTTCAAGACCATACAATACAATTTTTTTACGATTTACGATTTAAGTAGACCATTGTAAAGTATTGTGAGTTTTTGTTAATAATTGAATAAATTTCGTGATTAAATAAGTGATTTAATAACAATTAATGAAATTACTAATACCTATATGGAAATACAAGTAAAGCACAAAGAATAAGTCATAATTCATGGTGTGGTTTAGTATTTAAATCTAAAGTAATTTCTAATTTTTTCAGTGTTACCTGAGCCAAACAATACACATAGTCCTGGTCAAGTAGAGTTGAAAACCTTTATGAGTCCGATGTCACTGGCGTCATTGACATCAACACATTCATCACCATACTCGGAAAGCACCATGTTTAACTACCCAAGGTTGACAGGACCTAGAGACCTCCAAATACCTGGTTCACAGTCTAATGATGTTAATGTAAAGGTAAGTTGTTAATTTTTCAAAGAAATATTATTTGTATCATAAGTTGTTGTTTTTTTATTCTCTTTAATAGTTATCATGATCATCATCAACGGCCTATGTTTAAGTAGCCACTGCTGACCAAAGGCCTCGCATGGAGAATGTTTGAACATTAATCACCACGCTTGCTCATTGTGGACTGGCTTGTTAATAGTACAAATTTTGAATGTTTTCTTACTATGTTGCGCCTGGTGACATTTAGCACTCCTTAGTGCACCTCTGCCTAAAAAATCCCGGTATTTTTAATATTGTTACTGTACTAGCCATGATTTTAAATTTTTTTGTGGACTTAATTTTGAATTTTCATTACGAATTTGAACCTTATAACCTATTAAAATCAATACTTTATTTCAATAATTTAATAAGAATATATCTGTTTCCAGATATCATTGGCAACAACTAGTATTAAATCTGATGTAAAGGAAGTGTTTAGAGCTAAAGCAGCCAATGATTCAATTGATATCTGGGAGTTAGCTACACAAGTTGACAAGGATGTCCCTGATGAAATTTGGGAGATAGTTGGTAAGTCCTTTTTATTTATCACAAGGAACAATAATTTAACGACTAATATATATTTTTAACTATGGTGTTTTATGTGGTCTTGTGAGATTAATTATATTGATATTTACGAACATTAATATTCTATGTATAGTCGGCAAAATTATTTAGTATGTAGGTTAAAGATTAATTCAGTGCAGAGACAGTAACTATTGTTATACTGGTGGGGGATTATAAGGATTTTTGAATTAAAAAACCTTCCAACAATTTGAGAGCTATATTTCGATAGCACAGACATGGAAGAATAATAAAAGTAAAAACATGGCGGTATTCGCAAAAAAGAGAAACACTAAAATTACTTATAGCTATCAGTTAACCTAGTGAAACACATTGCTATGCATTTATGCGTAGGCTCACGTAAACATGCCCCCAGGCGTTGAGAGGCACCTCTCAACCAGAATCCTCAGCATCAGGTAAGGGGCAGATTTTGTTGAATGCCCGGCGCACCATCCCACACGCAGTTTTGAGGTCAGCAACTCGGTTGATGCCATCATGTCCAGGATGTAACGCAGTAACTCTGCCAAGTCGCCATTTTAATGGTGGGAGGTTGTCATCCTTTATGAGAACGAGGGCATTATTCTTCAGTGAAGATCTACTGGATCTCCATTTTACTCGTTGCTGCAACTCTGACACATATTCTTTACTCCACCTTGACCAAAAATGTTGTCGGAGTTGTTCGATTCTCTGGTATCTGGTAAGGTGGTTCTTAGAGCAATCTTCATAACTCGGCGTAGGCAATGCAGTGAGTGGTCGCCCGATGAGGAAATGTCCGGGTGTGAGTGGCAGAACATCGCTGGGGTCCGACGAAAGCGAGGTAAGTGGACGTGAGTTCAGTAGGGCTTCTATTTGTATCAAGACAGTGTTCAGCTCTTCCATCGTTAGATTACAATTTCCCAATACTCTTTTTAAATGGTATTTTGTAGATTTGATGCCAGCTTCCCAGAGGCCACCGAAGTGAGGAGCATAAGGAGGTATAAAATGAAAATCAATTTCTTCTTCTGCTAAATCACTAGATAATGAATTGCAATTATCCCTAATAAACTTCCCAATCTCGTGATATGCTCCAACGAACGATGTCCGTTATCAGAGTAGAGGTGTTTAGGTTTTCCTCTACGAGACACAAATCGACGAAGAGCCGATAAAAAATTAAAGCTTGTTAAATCACCTACCAACTCGATATGAACAGCCTTTGTTGTAAAACATATAAACAAAACAATATAAACTTTTGTGAGTCGGCACCCACGCCCCTGTCTACTAGCTGACAAAACAGGTCCAGCATAGTCGACACCAACAGTTTCGAAGGGATAGCCTCCAGGAGTTACGCGCTGCTGTGGCAAATCACCCATGAGTGGTGATACAACCTGCCCTTTCATACGACAACATATTACACACTTACGATAAACCGCCTTTGCTAAATTACGCCCACCGATAGGCCAATAATTTTCTTTAACGGATGCCAGTAGCAGTTGCGGCCCAGCGTGCATAAGTTTCCGATGCATATGTTGAAATAACAATTTTGTAACGTAATGAGTGGACTGTAATAATAATGGAAACTTTTTATCATAACAAAATTGAGAATTTCCAAGACGACCACCTACACGCATTAAATTTTGGTCATCAAGGAATACGTTAAATTTAAGTAATGGACTCTTTTTTGGCAGTGGTTTTTTATTTATTAGAAGTTCATATTCCGGGAACGAATCCTTTTGTGTAAGTTTTACAATCAAATTTAATGACAATTTCAATTCGCTATCACTGAGATATTGTTTTTCAGGTAATTTCTTTCTACAAATATTTAGAAATCTTAAGACATAAGCCACTGTGCGTTTAAGTCTAGAAAAATTAGAAAATCTATTAAAATTAATAAATTCGATGTTATTTTCTGATCTAACAAGTAAGGAAACCTCAGAGCGCACCTCAGGTAGTTTATCAGCTGTGACTGTTGGAGTAACAGGCCATTGTGAGGGATCACAACTTAAAAATTTAGGACCTGACCACCACAAGTCTAAGGAATGTAAAAGACTTACATCAATTCCACGGGATATATGATCAGCGGGATTTAGTTTAGTCGGAACGTGCCTCCAAGAACATGACCCTGTCTTGTCCAAGATCTCTGCAACACGGTTTCTAACAAAGGGCTGCAACTTACAAGGTACCACGTTAAGCCAGCCTAGTACTACAATTGAGTCAGTCCAGAAGGTGGCGCTTCTGATTTGAACGCGGAGAGAATCAACCACCTTTTCATAAAGACGGACTCCAACCAAAACCGCACAAAGCTCTAGTCTCGGTATTGTCACCGGCTTTATAGGTGCTACACGGCTTTTGGCTGTAAGCAAACGCACCAATGTGTTAGTGTCTTGGGTTGAGCTACGTACATACACACAAGCACCATACGCGACTTGTGATGCATCACTGAATATGTGTAGATCTATGCTATCGTATAGATCACACAGTACTAAACGTGGAATTCGTAAATGATTTATAATTGGCAAGTTGCGTAAAATGTTTACCCACAATTTTAAAATATCTGGAGGTAGCGGATCATCCCATCCCAACTTTAGTACCCATAATTTTTGTATCATTGTCTTCATTACAATGATGCACGGAGCTAAAAGTCCTAATGGATCAAAATTCTGAGATACAGTAGAGAGAATACCACGTTTTGTTAACGGGTTAGAAATATTTTCACTTATTGAAAAACATAGGACATCCGTTTCAGTGTGCCAACTTAAACCTAAAGTTTTACACGGCTCAGCTGCACCAATATTTAAATTAACCCGGCGTCATTGTGGCGGAAAAAAGTTACACTAACGTTGAAGTGGGTCATTATGACCCTGTTGCAATTGTTACTATTTTACCTAATATAAAATGATTTGTAATTTTTTTTATTCAATATTTATAATATATAAGTGTATATATAATCAGTAGCAACAATAAAACACATTGGTAATAAATGAAGTAATTTTTATTTTTAACTTTCAATAAGACTATTAATTATACAATAAAAATTTAACTCTCTTCTAAGTTTTTTTTTATCAACAAAAAACAATATGGTTTCTTACAAAAATATACTTAAATCAAATTTATACTACCTAATCTCTCTATCTTTGGAATATTAATCACAAAAATATCAGGAACTTTCGAATAATCAGTCTTTTTTAATTAGACTTTCACTGCAGCTTTTACAATAAGAGATTACGTGTTGAGGGCATATAAACTTATGGCAAGTATTACATATGTGATTTGTCTTTCTATCTTTTTTGTAGGGACAATCTTGACACCTTCTTCGAACACCAGTGAGCTTTGCAGGAGGTTCTCCAAATGTTTCTCCAGTAAATTCTATCATTCTTTTGCGCATTTCCCTAGGAAGATTTATTGAATCTTTGCGTAAAGTACAGCAAATTATCCGGTATAAAAAGTTGCCAACATTCTAATTCCGATTTAGCCGTCTTTGCTTCTTGAGCTACTCCAGGCTGCTGTGTAATAATATTCTCACTTCGAGTGCGGACATTTTGCCGGAAAGGAGTTTTGTACCATTTAGTACCATCTTTCCCACTATAAAAAGAATTTCGTACCTGTTGGTCTGATGATTCTACTATGTCATCACTTGAATTGAATTGACGTAATTGTTGCAGTGGAATGTTTTCTTCACTGTCACTAATTTCTTGATCAGTATTACTTTCCTGACTACGAACACTAACATGATCTTTGTTTTCCGAATCAGATGCACAAGGTTCATTGTCACTATCTGAAGATTCTTCAAGTATCGCTACGATTCGACGACGCTCACGTTCTTCCGGGTCCATATTAGATAGTTATTTAAAAATAAAGTAGCGTAAATAAGCAAAACTAAATAAAATATTAAAAAAATATATGGCACTAAGCAGCAACGTCGCCGTTGAGCTGGGTCATAATTACCCGGTCGCAGGTTCACACACGTGTTGCTCCTTGCTCGAGCGATGGACGACTAAAGTGAGGTACACGAAGGGTGGGGGTGATACTTAGCTGCAGCTACTGAGACAGACGATTGTGTGCGGCAATTATTTCTAAGAAATTTTTCGTATGCAAAACGTGCAGGGTCATATTGACCCTGCCTCAATAACGCCGGGTTAAGCGATGAATGCTGTATATTATCAGTAACAACACTGGCACAGTTAGATTTCCATTTACGCAATGGCATTCCAGCTGATGCGAGTTCAACTGTAACTTTGCGACGTATTTCACGGACCTCTTCAACTGTATCCCCACCTGAGAGCAAATCGTCCACATAAAAGTCGTGTTTAATTATTGTAGCAATTTTATTATCAGTACAGTCAAGCCCTATTTGACGCAAACACCTAGTAGCAAGGAATGGCGCACTAGCAGTGCCGTATGTAACTGTGTTTAATTGATAAGCTACCATTGGCTCCAAAGGATTCTCACGCCACAATATTTGTTGGAGATGCCTATCATCCGGATGTACAACTACTTGCCGGTACATTTTTTCTACGTCCGCACAAACAACATATTTATATTGCCTGAACCGGAGCAGTATAGACATCAAATCATCTTGCACAGTAGGCCCTATCATTTGTAAATCATTGAATGATGTTCCTGAAGTAGTGGGACTACTGGCATTAAACACTACCCTGAGCTTTGTAGTTAAACTACTCTCTCGCACAACGCCATGGTGAGGTATAAAGAATGAGACCCTCTGAGAATCAGGAGAACACGGAGACATATGGTTTAGATTGATGTACTCCTTCATAAATTCACAATACCGTTTTTTAAATAAGGGTTGACTTTTAAACTTGCGTTCTAACGACAACAGACAGTGCTTAGCCCGGTGATGAGAGTCACCCAAACAATCTTGTGATTGTTTTAGTGGTATTCTAACACAAAAACGACCATCCTTAAGACGTGTCGTATTTTTAACGAAGTTCTCTTCACACATCTTTTCTTCTCGAGAATATACTGATGACTGATGGCCAACTTCCTCGAGTTGCCAAAAACGCATTAATAGGTTTTGAAGATCAACAGCATTCGAGTTAATCTGTGAAGAGTTATTAACATTAATTAAATTACATTTTGGAAAATAATTAGGTACCTGATCATTATTTAATATAGAACCTGAAACTATCCAACCAAGTCTAGTTTCAAATAGAACTGGCTTCCCAACACCAAGATTAATCCTCCGTGTTCCCAGAAGGTCCCAGAAAATATCTGCACCTATTATTAAATCTACACGGGAAGGGGTATCGAAATGAGGATCAGCTAAACACAGGTCACTTGGTATATTTAAATCTTTTATGTCTAATGAACTACAAGGAACGTCATCAGTAATAGAAGGTAATATGAAACAAGAAATCTTAGTAACATAGCCTTCATTTAATGATTTTATTGGAATGCAACACATCTTGCCTATTAGGGATTTAGAATTATTAATACCGGTTAATGACTCATTAACTTCAACAGTAGGTAAGTTTAAAATGTTACATAACCTTTCTGTGATAAGACAAGACGTGCTGCCGGTATCTAGAATGGCGCGAACCAGGTGTTCACAATTATTATTATCATATGCCTTTATTAATGAAGTGGCTAAGAGGCCTTGATTTTTATTGTGTACATGCGCATTGACTTGCGCTGACAATGTAACGTTACTGCTCGACGATTGTTCAGTAGGCTCGTTAATGATGTCGCGGTTATTATTATGGGATAAGGATGGTAACGTGGACTTCGCCTTAATGTCTGTGACATGAACTAGTGTATTATGCTTTCTTTTGCACGCCTTGCAACCAGGAGACTTGCAATGATTTGCATAATGACCACCGCGGAGACAATTAAAACAAACTTTTAATTGTGGTAATAATTCTAACCTTTCCTCATTACTGAGGCTTAAGAATTGTGAACAGTTACTTAAGTTATGTTCTCCTCGACATTTCGGACACGGTTTACTTGAGCCTGTACCACAATTAGGCTTAATACTTAATGTATTAGCGATGGACACCATGGTTTTAATTTTATTGTTGGGTTTTGCATGCACAGTCGACATAACATGGGACATTTCTAAGGTTTCCAATAAGTTTGCGCGATTACGCACAAATTTTAAAAATGTCTCTAATGTTATTGATTTGTTATGATCAAAATCACCCTTAAATTGTTCCCACTCGCGAAATGTCTTAGGATCAAGTTTACACGTAACTATATAAATTAATAATGTGTCCCAATGTTTCGTTGGTTCACCTAGTGTTTCTAATGCTCGTAAGTTTTTGTTGACAGTATCAATGACACGTTTCAAAGTAGTAGACGATTCTTTCCGCACAGCCTCGATGTTAAACAACGCTGCTACATGGTTTTGTATCAAAAGGCGTTTGTTGTCAAACCTGTCACACAATAATTTCCAGGCAACACGGTAGTTAATAGACGAAAATTCCATAGACTGAATAACCACAGCAGCCGAACCCTCGAGAGAAGCCCTAAGATAATGGAATTTATTGATATCATCTATGTCTTCATTCACATGTATCAAACTTGAAAATGTGTCGCGAAACTCGAGCCAGTTGTCAAATGAACCAGAAAACTTAGGCAGTTGTATTGTAGGCAATTTAACAAGCCGACGATTGCTAATTCGAGATGAACTTTTATCACTCATTGAACACTCATCATTATGTGACTTACCATTACGAGAAAGTAAATCTTGTGCCTTGGAAACGAGTTTATAAAACGTAGATTCAAATTCATTTCGTTCTGACAATTGACTATTAATATCATCAACTAAACACTCTAAACGTAACTGAACCTCGTCGTATTGAGTAAATAAATTTTCCATCTTACCTGTTCGCAACTGCAATTCATTAACTTGCGATGGATTTAACGAATCTTCCAAATCATTTAAGTAATTACTAAAAGCGGTCAACCGCCCTTTATAACCTGCCCGTCTTTTAATTAATTCCTTCTCCTCCTTCTCGGTCATTCTGGGAAGCCAGCAAGCAACTGAAATTCACCAAATTAATATTGCAAATTTTACTAATATTATAGACACGAAAGCTTGTAAGAAAGTATGGACGTACGTTTGTTCTTATTTTACACAAAACTACTGAATAGATTTCGATGAAATTCCACTGTAATATAACTTATACATAAGAACAACACAGGCGAAGCTAGTTAACAATAATGTAATTACGTTTAAAGTACCGTTATGCACTTATGATAATGATTAGTCCGTTTTCATACCGAAATATAACAAGTTAAAGTTCAAACTAACCTAACAGACTGTTTTACAAGTTTTAAGTATACTAAGCTATTAACTACAGTGATAGTTAATTAATATAATAATGCCTAGGTACACTTCTTTAAATTATATAAAACAATCAACTAAATGAAGTAGGTAGTACTGACCTTAACAGTTGCTGGAAATTACTTAAATATTACCTGAGTTTAAACCTTACTTAGAGTACTGGGTGTCACTATTGATATTAAACGCTGAACACTGTATAATAACCATCCAGAGTTGCAGATGATCCTAAGTTTCCACGTTCAAATGATCATCGGAACGATCCACTTCACGGTGACCTTTGTACCTCGTACGACCAATCCTCTATAAATTCTGATCCCAGTAGAAATCCGGAAATAATTTATTTCACTGATTCTTGCTTTTATTCTTCATCAAAAAATCCGGCTCGAAGGACCATGGTGGGGGATTATAAGGATTTTTGAATTAGAAAACCTTCCAACAATTTGAGAGCTATATTTCGATAGCACAGACATGGAAGAATAATAAAAGTAAAAACATGGCGGTATTCGCAAAAAAGAGAAACACTAAAATTACTTATAGCTATCAGTTAACCTAGTGAAACACATTGCTATGCATTTATGCGTAGGCTCACGTAAACAGAAGCTATACGTCAAATCTTTATTTTCTTACTTCCTCGTTGGCCGAGTGGTCGCAAGTGCGACTGCCGGGCAAGGGGTCTCGGGTTCGATTCTCGGGTCGGGCAAAGTCGGAGTCTGGAATTGTGCCCGGCATATGGCAATAGGCCCACCCCCTTTTACATGGGACTTATAAATAGTGAAAAGTGGTTATTACATTGTACAGTGGCATCAAGTGCCGTAATATGCACGTCTACCCCTTCGAGGGGGATAAAAGGCGTGACGTTATGTTATGTTAATTTCTGACCTGCATACGAATGTGTACAGTGCCACTAAAGTGTAGAACGTTGCTTTGTATTTCCTGTACACGACCCTAAACATCTTTTTCATTTTATTTATTTCTTCTACATTATAGTTATAATTTGTCTGGAGTTTAAAAGAGACGAGAAGGGTTTCGGCGTTTCTTCTCAGAGTAGTCAGTTAGGAAATGCTGGCCCTCATCTAGTAATTTAAAGATTGACATGTAAATGTGCTCTGTAACCTATTTGCAGAAATGAATATCATTCCACTTCATCGTTTCTTTTTATTTCGAAGATTTTTTATTTGTAAGTTCTTTATAAAATTATATGTCTTGTATTTCAGCCAAAATGCCGCCGATTCATGAAAGACAGCTGCTGGCATCTTCTTCAAGAGAACTTGGTTTATGGAGACAGACTTATGGCAATATATTATCCGATCTGCATGTTATATCAGAGAAACAGTTTATCAGACATATCATGTATTTAGTTAGTAAGTATCACGTTTTATTTGACTATTTTATTCTTTGACTGCCAACAGAAAACTGTTCTCCAATTACTGCTGTGTTTATTATTTTATTACCGCTGGACTGTCTCGTTATTCGAGTAGTCGCAAGCGTGATTACTTAAGGCTTAGGCTTCGAATCCTGGGTCGGGTAAAATTTTATTTAAACAAAATATATAAGTAATTTTTGGGTATTTTTGATTTTTCGAAAATTTTGTTTAGCAACTCAGGCTATTATTGATGATAACTTAACTGGCGAAAGTAAATTGATGGTTATATTAAGTTATATGTGTTACGGCTAATACCTGAAGTGCGGCTACACTTAGTTTTAGCCGGTTAGAACTGGGTGTAGCCACTTACTCTTGGTTAAACCTAGTACGAGCCGATTGTTTTCGGGTAAAACTAGGTCTAACCTTCATCATGCCGACTACAACTAGGTTCAGCCATTTTCTGTTGGATAAAACTAGAAGCAAACAAGTTGAAACGACGCGCCTGGCTCACGCGAGACGAATCGCGCTCGCGCGCCCCTGCCGCCCCGCCTCCCGTACACCCGCGTTTGCCCTTGCGCTTTGAGTTGCGTACGCGTTGTGCCGTTGTACAAAACAGACGTACTTTCTTGTTTTTGCGCACTCATACGTTCGAATTCAGAATGGCTATGAATGAAGACCTACAGACTATGAAGTCAAGTTTTTTGGAACAGTTTCAGTGTTTATTTGCTACAAAACATGGTGAAAATCAAAGCTATATGAATGATGTGCAGTATTCCAAGTTTATAGAAGACGTTAAAGCTGCCAAAATATCCACGAAATGTTCTACATTACAATATCGCAGTTTGAAGCGCTTCGATGTTTATTGTATTGGCGACATCGAAAAGTTAATTTCTCCTGTGTCGAGCACCAAAAATTTCGAAAATATCAAATATTTTGTCAAGAATGAAGACTTTTTTGATGTTCTTCATGAAATACATAATATGTGTGTTGGGCACGGCGGAAGAAACAGAATGGTTGCAGAAGCTAAAAAGAAGTATACAAATGTATATCACTAGTTGTTGCCTGCGACTTAGTCCGCGTAGAATAATGCCATCTGGCAGAATTCATCAGAATTGATTCAGTGCCTAAGTGAGATTTATTGTGAAATAAATTTATCGTGATTTAAAAAAAATGAATAATCCCGCAGGGATTTTACCAGCCCGTTCCCGTTAAGATGTTAGTGATAAAATTTGTTGTACCGAATCTCTCTAAAATAAATTCAGTGGTTAAGAGATAGAGAGTCCCGGGGCTTTAGACGAATAGTTCCCGTTCCCGTAGGACTTCTGTGATGATAAAAACAATCATACATACATTGTGTTCCAGGTCTCAAATTATCGTTTTACCGAATGTAAGTCAAAAAAATTCAATGATTTATACAAACTCTCATCACCTATTTTATCCCCTTAGGGGTGGAACTTATTATTCTTTCTTAGGAGATGTCTACGTCATATCTATCTGCGTGCCGAATTTAAAGCTGATCGGTGTAAAACTGACAAAGTTTCATACAAACATTCATCCCCTATTTTACCCCCTGGGGGTGGAAATGATCAAAATCCTTTCTTAAGGGATGCTTACGTCATAACATCTACCTGCATGCCAAATTTCAGCCCAATCCGTCCAGTGGTTTGGGCTGAAATTTTGCGGGCTCTGTGATCAGTATGAGGAGAAAAAATATATGTTGTGTGAAAAGAAACTAATAAAGTAATAATTGACACTAACAGGAAAGGCGCACAGGAAGGTTTGGTAAAACAAGCTATAAAAATGACGGCTTCATCAAATGAAAAGTTTCCCCCATGTAAAGTCGGTGATACAGTCCGAGTAAAAATTCCTGACGTGGACAGAGGTAGAGGTGACATTCCCAATGTGTTAATGGTTGTACTTGAATGTAACGACAAGGGGTTATACAAATTACGATTTACGAATTAATACCAAATACGGCACTATAACAGAACTATTTTCAAGAAATCAGTTCACTGTGTGTGATTCAAAGTGTGGCCAAATAGCCAATGTACATACAATCGACCTCTGGTGGGCAAGGGTATAAAAGATGCCACTGCAAAACCAAATGTGGCTACAAAAAGTGCCTCTGTAAAGCTCTGTAAAGCAGCAAAATTTTGTGCAACTCAAAATGTCACTCAAGTTTAAGTTGTTCTAATAAATAGTTTATGTTACTTTATAAAAGTGTGATTTATAATTATAATAACATTCTTTAAATTATAATATGCAACTACTTATTATCTGTTGTTAAAAAAATATTCCTGATTGTTCCTATTATGTTAAAAATTGTACTCCTAATAATTAATTATTACAATGTGATTTATAAGAATAAAAAAACTCTACGTTTCTTTTTATTGGATGTTTTTTAATATCTAAAAAAGGTCTGCCGATATCATGCCAGCTACAACCATTCACAGCCAAACCTTTTAGATAAAACTATGACACGCGCTGCTTCTGCAGACGCTGTGAGTCACACTCGCTAGTAGACCTGCAGTAGATCAGCAGCACCGACCTGCAGTAGATCAGCAGCACCTTGCGCTCACAACCTGCAGAGGCGCGTGCCTCGCTATGCCCTCCACCCCGCGCCGCTGCTGCAGATGCTGTGAGTCATGAGTGTGACGCGGGGCTTGGCGGGACACGCATATAAGTTTTATCCAATAGGGATTGTCTGGATCTACTCTCGAAAGTAATCGAGGACACTTGATAGCTTTCGAAGACGCTCGATAGTTTTCGAGGACGCTCAATAGTTTTCGAGAACGCTCGATAGTTTTCGAGGACTCTCGATTGTTTTCGAGCACGTTCGATAGTTTTCGAGGACGCTCGATAGATTTCGAGGACGCTCGATAGTTTTCGAGGACTCTCGATTGTTTTCGAGGACGCTCGATAGATTTCGAGGACTCTCGATTTTTTTCGAGCACGCTCGATAGTTTTCGAGGACGCTCGATAGATTTCGAGGATGCTCGATAGTTTTCGAGGACGCTCGATAGTTTTCGAGGACGCTCGATAGATTTCGAGGACGCTCGATAGATTTCGAGGATGCTCGATAGTTTTCGAGGACTCTCGATTGTTTTCGAGGGCTCTCGATTGTTTTCGAGCACGCTCGATAGTTTTCGAGGACGCTAGATAGATTTCGAGGACGCTCGATAGATTTCGAGGATGCTCGATAGTTTTCGAGGACTCTCGATTGTTTTCGAGGGCTCTCGATTGTTTTCGAGCACGCTCGATAGTTTTCGAGGACGCTCGATAGCTTTCGAGGACGCTCGATAGATTTCGAGGATGCTCGATAGTTTTCGAGGACTCTCGATAGCTTTCGAGTAACTCGAAAGTGATCGAGGACGCTCGATAGATTTCGAGTAACTCTCGAAAGTTTTCGAGGACTCTCGATTGTTTTCGAGGGCTCTCGATTGTTTTCGAGCACGGTCGATAGTTTTCGAGGACGCTCGATAGATTTCGAGGACGCTCGATAGATTTCGAGGATGCTCGATAGTTTTCGAGGACGCTCGATAGATTTCGAGGATACTCGATAGTTTTCGAGGACTCTCGATTGTTTTCGAGGGCTCTCGATTGTTTTCGAGCACGCTCGATAGTTTTCGAGGACGCTCGATAGATTTCGAGGACGCTCGATAGATTTCGAGGATGCTCGATAGTTTTCGAGGACTCTCGATTGTTTTCGAGGGCTCTCGATTGTTTTCGAGCACGCTCGATAGTTTTCGAGGACGCTCGATAGCTTTCGAGAACTCGATTGTTTTCGAGCACGTTCGATAGTTTTCGAGGACGCTCGATAGATTTCGAGGACGCTCGATAGATTTCGAGGATGCTCGATAGTTTTCGAGGACTCTCGATAGCTTTCGAGTAACTCGAAAGTGATCGAGGACGCTCGATAGATTTCGAGTAACTCTCGAAAGTAATCGAGGACACTCGATTGTTTTCGAGCACGCTCGATAGTTTTCGAGGACGCTCGATAGATTTCGAGGACGCTCGATAGATTTCGAGGACTCTCGATTGTTTTCGAGGGCTCTCGATTGTTTTCGAGCACGCTCGATAGTTTTCGAAGACGCTCGATAGATTTCGAGGACGCTCGATAGATTTCGAGGATGCTCGATAGTTTTCGAGGACGCTCGATAGATTTCGAGGACGCTCGATAGATTTCGAGGATGCTCGATAGTTTTCGAGGACTCTCGATTGTTTTCGAGGGCTCTCGATTGTTTTCGAGCACGCTCGATAGTTTTCGAGGACGCTCGATAGCTTTCGAGAACCCGATTGTTTTCGAGCACGTTCGATAGTTTTCGAGGACGCTCGATAGATTTCGAGGATGCTCGATAGTTTTCGAGGATGCTCGATAGATTTCGAGGACGCTCGATAGCTTTCGAGAACTCTCGATTGTTTTCGAGCACGTTCGATATTTTTCGAGGACGCTCGATAGATTTCGAGGACGCTCGATAGATTTCGAGGACGCTTGATAGATTTCGAGGACGCTCGATAGTTTTCGAGGACTCTCGATTGTTTTCGAGGGCTCTCGATTGTTTTCGAGCACGCTCGATAGTTTTCGAGGACACTCGATACCTTTCGAGAACTCTCGATTGTTTTCGAGCACGTTCGGTAGTTTTCGAGGACGCTCGATAGATTTCGAGCACGCTCGATAGTTTTCGAGGATGCTCGATAGATTTCGAGGACTCTCGATTGTTTTCGAGGACGTTCGATAGATTTCGAGGACGCTCGATAGATTTCGAGGACGCTCGATAGATTTCGAGGATGCTCTATAGTTTTCGAGGAATCTCGATTATTTTCGAGGACGCTCGATAGTTTTCGAGGACGCTTGATAGATTTCGAGGAATCTCGATAGTTTTCGAGGACTCTCGATACGCGCCTTGAGGCGAGGTGACGGGCATTAGCGACCCCGCGGGCTACCATCATCCCGAGTGCTCCAGGGAGAAGTCACCGTTCCTTACTCTCCGGCTTGCCTTGATTGGCTGGTTGGAACTTTTACCCGAAACGATTGTTTTCGGGTAAAAGTTCCAACTCGTACTAGGTTTAACAAAGAGTAAGTGGCTACACTTAGTTCTAACTGGCTAAAACTAGGTGTAGCCGCACTTCGGCCGTAACGCCCGTAACATATGAATAGCATTTTCCATTTTCGGAAATTATGGACTTGATATTATTTAATTCATAAATAATTGTTTGCTGCTCGTTGGCCGAGTGGTCGCAAGTGCGACTGGCATGGGGTCTCGGGTTCGATTCCCGGGTCGGGCAAAGTATTACTGGGTTTTTTGAAAAATCTCAGTAGTAGCACGGAGTCTGGAATTGTGCCCGTTATATGGCAATAAACTCACCCCCTATTACATGGGACTTATAACATAAATAGTGAAAAGTGGGTTTTACATTGTACAGTGGCATAATGTGCAGCTTTCGGGAATAAAAGGCGTGATGTTGTTATAATTGTTTGCAGTTGGTGTTGAAACAAGTTCCTTTCCATTCAGTCAAGAAACCAACAGTTTCTACATGCGAGAGGATCTGATACTAGAATGCATATCAAAAGAACATATCAGGGGTTATGTGGCCGAGCTGTTATTGGTCGGAACTTATTACAAACGGTTGTATAAGTTCGCATTCAACGAGAGTCTGGAGGATCAATTCCATAGTAATGGACTGGTTTATGAGGTAAGTTTGTCCTATTAATAGTTGATAATAATTAAATAGCTTGGCCAGTCTGGCTAGGAAACTGGTTGCGTCGTGACATGTCGTAGTTTAAGTTCATCCACAAATTGTTGTTTCTGGTCTGAGGGTGATGTGTATCTGAATTTGTAAATGTTCGTAAACCCCTTCACGTCTTAAGAGAAAATCCAATAGCGGGACATCAATTTAAAAAAATGCTTGTAATAATGGCCTAGTTCACCAGGGCTTTTTATAACACTGACGTGATACAACGGTGTGTTTTGCTGTATGGGAAAGTATGGTTACGGGATTCTTAAATACATCTAACTAGATTTAACTAGTAGATATTAAATAGCTTTGAATTAATCAGTCTTTATTGAACTTACAGGCGGCACGAGAAGTAATACGGCGTTATCTATTAGACTTTCGATTGAAGGCAACAGAGATCTATGAAGAATCAAGTAAGAACAGTGACGAGGATCTAAATGTTATGCCGACATTGTTACAAATACTACATCATATGGAGCCACTCAAATACGAGATAGAAACTATCGCTTCAATATATAAAGTTGTTAATACTGGTAAGGTCTTGATTCAATTCTAGTTTAACATAAAACACGCTCATAATGAAATGATTTTTGACCCCTCCCCCCTCTTATTTATTATTTATGTACACACATATAACACAAAGTACAACACATATATAAAAACGAAGTACATAGGTCCTACATATTCCAACTGGAATTTCTTCCCGTGGGCCTGTGGCAGGAAAAGAAATAACGATACCGAGACACAGCGTGTTACACAAATAGGATAACAAAATTTAAAAAAAATTAAAACCAAACAAATTAAAAGAAGTAACATTATTGATAAATAAAATAAATCTATATCTTACTTCCTAGTCACATTTGTGAACCCCTAGTCTGACGTCATACACTTTACAACTTGACATCTTGAAATAAGTACATAACATCACGCCTTTTATCCCCGAAGGGGTAGGCAGAGGTGCACATTACGGCTTTAATGCCACTCTACAATGTAACACCCACTATTTATGTTGCGAGTCCCATGTAATAGGGGGTGAGCCTATTGCCATATACCAGGCATAATTCCAGACTCTGTGCTACTACTGAGAATTTTTTTAATCCCAGTAATACTTTGCCCGCCCCGGGAATCGAACCCGAGATCCTTTGCCCGGCAGTTGCACTTGCGACCACTGGGCCAACGAAGTAGTCAGTAGAAATAATTATGTATTTAATTAAAATGACCACGAGCCAATCAGTTAACTGTTTTAAGTCTCATCTCAGATGGAACATATACTGTCTCTTGCATGTTATTACTATTCAAGATTGGTTAATGTAACCGAATTCGATTAGGAGACCATTTTCAAATCAAAAATATAACCTTTTGTGTACTTAATATAATTAATTAAAACCCTAACTAATGTTTTCAGATCCCAAAGCTACAATATCGCACGGAGCAGAACTAATGTCGTATCTATTCAACGAAATATCGCTAATCACACACAGACAGACAACGTTCACCATGTTCAACTCATTGTATTCTATCTGCAAAGTTTATTTCAAGTAAGTATTACATTGTATTATCATCATAATCACCACCTTATAAGTGATCGCTGATGAGCAAGGGCCTCTTCGCACACAGAGAAGGATTGCATGTGCATTAAACTGTCAAACACCAAGCGGTCACCGGTGACCGCAACCTATTGTTCTGTAATTGTGTCTATAATGACGGTACTCAACGAGTTAATCATCATGCTTGCTCAAGACAGATTGATGATTTCAAACTTATTGTTTGAAATAATGAGTCCATTCTTCTTCATAGGAATTTACACTTTGGAACGAGCAAATAGCTTCACTAGAGAACTGACCGACGGACTGACATTCTTTTTTAATTTTTCAATATTTGGTTTTGACTTTCAAAAGTCCCTTTCTGGTCTAATTGAAATAAATGATTTTGACTTTGACTTTGACTTTCACACTTTCTCACGACAGTTTCGTTTACCATATCGTTTATTATAAAACTAATGATAATTATTCATATTAAACTAAAAATAATACATTTTCTTCTTTAGGTTCATCGAAAGATTCATATTCGAAGGTGAATTAGACGATAGATTTAACGAATTTTTTATAAGAAAAGACAACCAGTACGTAAACAATCGTTCAAAGAGGTACTGGGACAAAGGGTTTCATATAACGCAGAGTGTGGCTGTACCGGAGTTCTTGAAGCCTTTGGCCAAGTTCATACTACTGTGTGGAAAGTCTCTGAGGTTGCTGAAATTGTGTAATCCTAGTGTAAGTATAAAATTTAGGTAACATATTTTTTTAGCATGCGTAGCCTACACTGGGATTTTCTCCTATGTCGTGGTTACGTTCACAAATATACAAGTTCACATACACATGACACCCAGACCAGGAACAACAATTTGTAGATCACACAAAAAGTTGCTCCGTGTGAAAATCGAACGCGGTACACGTTGCACGATAACCATCGCGTATAATTTCTTTATGCAATAAGTTTTCTTAATTGGTTTTCTCTTCTTTGCCACCCACGGAGTTTCGCGTCAGATAGACGGGACGGGTCAAATACTATTTTTTTTTTTAAGAAAACGTTTCACCACACTAGGATTATCTCCTGTGTCGTGGGTGCGTTTACAAACATACAAGTTCACATACACATGACAACCAGATCCGAAACAACAATTTGTGGATCACACGAAGTGTTGTTCCGTGCGGGAATCGAACCCGCGACACGTTGCACGGCAGCCGGTTGCCCAGCCACCGCACCAACCGTGCATTTGACTTTGCGATTTTAAAAAGTTCTCACAGTACCTACACACGGCTACACATCGAGCTTTACATAACCAGTATAAACTGAACGTTAAATGTGAGGAAAGATGATACGACGCGATACCAGGATAAACTGGTTTTGTATAGATTGATGTGTAGCCGTGTGTACCATGAAGTCCTGTGTGTATGTTTAGCGAGTCTGATTGTGTCATAAAATGGGTCTGACATTTGATAAATTAAATACCTCAAACGCATTTGTATTTGTATACTAGCTTTTACCCGCGGCTTCGCTCGCGTCACAAAAGAATAAAAAGTAGCATAAGTGACATATACCAATACACACAGCGCCATCTATATCAATAATTTGTTATATTTAAAAAATCCTCAGGAATATAATTTTTTCCGGGTTAAAAAGTACCCTATTATTTAATCCGGACTTCTAACTTTACGTCTGCAAAAATTCAAAGCAGTCGGTTGAGTAGTTACGGCGTGAAGGTGGAACAAACAAACAAACTCACTTTCAGATTTATAATATTATATAGTATATAGTAAGGATTCCATACTGGTGCTTACTATCAAGCGATTCGTCTATTCGTTTGCGCCAATAACTTAAAAACTAACTAATAAATATATTATTTTTTTCAAGGATCCTCTAGTTCTCTTAATATCATCAGATCATCCGTCAGTGAAGTGTTGTGCCAGTTTCAAAGAACTAGAGAGGCAACAACAAGTACTGGATGTATACAGGACACGATGTCTCTTCGTCAGCGGAGAGTTGGTCACGTTTGATCAAATACTCTTAAAGAGAGAGGCAGAACGAAAAGCCTTCACTGAAATGGCGTCCTTAAAACAAGCTGAAACTATGGAGAAGATAGTTGGTAAGTGAACAATGACATAAGTGAATCTCTGTGTTTATTTAAAAAATAAAACAACATAACAGTCACGCCTTTTATCCCCGAAGGGGTAGGCAGAGGTGTACATTATGCCACTGTACAATATAATACCCACTTTTCACTATTTATGTTATGAGTCCCATGTAATAGGGGGTGAGCCTATTGCCATATACCGGAAACAATTCCAGACTGCGTGCTGCAACTGAGATTTTTTTTAAAAACCCATTAATACTTTGCCCGACCCGGGAATCGAACACCAGACCAAGGGGTCTGCCGGGCAAGGGCCCGGCAGTCGCACTTGCGACCACAGGGCTAACGAGGCAGTCTTGTCTTAAAAAAATATTTGTGTTCATGATACTCAGTATAGTAAAGAGATATTTGAGTAATGACAATGAAACTTGTCAGTTATTATTATTTAAGTATCGTTAGATATATACATCATTAATTTGCGTTAGTTTTCTTTGGTAAAAATAAGTAATTTTGTCTAACAATATCTAGCGTTTCGTATGTTTTAAAACTCTGATTTTTTTTAGCCGAACGCAAGAGGCTAGCACAATTAATAATTGCCGAAAAACAGCATTCGTTAAGAGTCCTTGAAGCGGCAATGGCAGAAGCTAAAGCGGCTAAATGTAAAGCTAAGCAACGCGAGAGAATGCGATATGAACTGGAACATGCTGCCGAGAAGGCAAGCGAAGAAGTGGATTCCAGACTTAGAGATGATGAAAAGTAAGTTTTAGTAAATAAGGTCATTATGTGACCATCTAAGTCAGTAGTTAGTGCTAATGTCGAAACTCAACAGCTACAGTGGCGCCATTTTTGTAGTACTACAATAAACAAAAATATTTTTACTAGTTAAATGATACACTGTCTTAACTTAAATTTAATAAAATTTTAGGAACAAAATCATGGAGTACTACTCAAAACTAAATATGGAAGTCGAAAAGAGTAAAATACACACAGAATGGAAAATAAAGCGTTTACAGTTAGATCAGAGTAGAATTCAGTTGCTTTCGACTGAAGAGAGGAATTTAAAGAGAGAGAAATTGGAACTGGAACATCAGAAAAATGAAGAAGTGATGGCAATGTCGATACAGAGCGATATGTTGAGGTCAGACGATGAACTTGACAATAAAGAAGATAATGTAGAAGAAAATGTTGAAAGTATTCCTACTGAGAGTGAAATGACAGCATCAGTAATGTCGATTGCCACTGAAGCAGATAATACAGAGGAACCTGAACCTTTAGAGTATGACAATAACAAATCCAAGGCACAAACTTCCTCAGCAGTATTCAGCGCTATCTGTAATGCTGCCAAAACCTTTTTCGGGGTATCTAAGAGCATCAATGAAAACTGTGACAATAGCAAAGAATTAGACGCTCAAGGCAACATCGTTAAACCAGAAATTGATACAATAGTGAAAGCACATTCGCTACACACACAATCTTCCTGCGAAATAGGCAGCAAACTAGACGACGAATATGACAACCAACAATATCAGAAAAGTAGACAGGAAGCCTTGATGAATAAACAAAAGATTATGGCTCATGAATTTGGGCAAACCGATATTGAGAATAATCAAGTCAAAGATCCACCACTAATAAACATAGCATCGATAGATGAAGAAAATAATTTGCAAGAATGGACACCCTTTACAGAAGCTAAACGTAATAAGATGAAGGTGTTGGGTGCAGAATTCGATATAATCAAACCAATAGAAAAGACTGTTAGTTCAGAACCAAAGACGGATGCTCAGAAAGAAGCTTTAATCAACAAGCAAAAAGTTCTAGGAGTGGAGTATAATCTTCCGTTGGAAGCGGCTGCTAAGAAGGAACCAGTGAATGATGCTCAGACAGAGGCAGTTCGCAATAAGGAGAGGATTTTGAACTCTGATTATGACCTACTGGGTTCTAGTACTGGAAGTTTTAAAAGGGACAATGCGAAGCGGTCGGGGCTCACATTAAATTTGAAGCCATATGGCGAAGCTTCGTCCAATACTTTCAAGTTAGGTGTTACTCCTAATGCAGGGTCTGTTACTCCGGGTGATTATTTTCCAAGGGTAAGTTGATAGCAATTTTAAGTATTTTTTCATTAAGATGTGATTATATTGTTTTTAATTCGTTTCTTCTTCTAGCTCGACCTAGAGACACCTACAACGGCTGATGTTCCCCTCGAAAGTGCCATGACATCAGATGTATATACACCTAGAAGTGAGGCTAGTAAGGACCTAGATTTAAAATCCAAAAGCAAAGAGTTCCTAAGTACGGACGGATTCAATTTCCCAATGATAGTCGACGATGAAAATATTGAATCAGAAGTAACCAGCGAAGTGCAAACCGGTGACACGCCTGACTGTTCTCCAATAAAATCTTTAGACATGCCGATGAAGAATATGAAATCAAAATACTCTTTCTTCAACATATTAGACGGGTCTTACACTCTAGACGAATTTGACCCTTTCGGTATAAAGGAATTGAGTACATTTTCCAAAGATCATTTTACTAGTAAGATGAACCTGGAAATGACGGCTTCTTGTTACACTCATCCAGCTGTGATAATGGAGGAAGTAAAGAAGCGTCCTTATAATAATATATTTGCGTCTCATTTTGGGCCTGATGAGGAGGAAGAACAGAAAATAACTTGTGATAATATAGCAACACTGACAGCCTGCCTACAGAGATCTGTAATGTTGCCATTAACATACCAGTTAGAAGTTGTGAACAACTCTATTTTAACCTATTTCCTTGTTAACTTAGACATGTATGAACATATGAGGAGTTTGAAAGATTACTTCTTTTTAATGGACGGAGAATTTTCTAGAAGTATTTGTCATAATTTGTTTACGAAGTTGGTGAAGACGTTGAATCCCCAAGAGTTGTTGAATTTTGGGACGCTGCACAGTATATTGGATAAAGCTCTCGGGTCGTCCATATCACGTAAGTTCTTATTACTTAGATTTATTATTTTACGGTTATACGTGTGACAGTAGAGAGTTAAACCTACTAGATATTCTTATTAGTATTCATATTTAAATGTGATATTATGGACTATAGCATAAGTTTTTATTTTGTATTTTACATAACTATATATGTACTTTTATTTCCCCATGAGTAAGCATTTTTGCCAGTTATCATGACTCTTATGAATATATATCAAGGGAGTCTCCACCATAATTCAAGACCCCTAACTACTACTAAGATAGATGACACTATAGATAGACTTATAATTCAATCAGCACTTCATGTAAATAAAATATTTTTACTTCTTTTACAGATATACACAAATTCTCAGAAAACCTATCGTTCACGATCACGGAGTCCCCTTTAAGCTTCCAGCACAGTTCTCCAGATGTATTACAATGTCTCTCCCTGACTTACACAGTCAGTTGGCCTCTGAACATTATATTGTCACAGGAAGCGTTACTTAGATACGCTAAGGTGTTCCAGTTTCTGATCAAAATGAGACGCATATTTTGGGTCTTGGGTGAAGACTTTGAAGTAGGTATTTTATTGTTTGTGTAGTTAAAGTTTAGGTTTATTGTACGTGCTTCTGCTTCTAATTGAATACTAAAATATAATCGAATTATCAACTTAAGTTTCTGCGATGTATATTTTATAACATGTTTACTACAAACTGATCGAAACTTGTCAATTGGGTACTTTCCTTAATCAAAATAAATTATTTAGACTGTTCAATACAATAAAATATTAAAAAATAATCACACTATCATTAATTGATTTTGTGACCAACTTAATTTGAAGTATTTTTCCAGCAAATAAGAAATAAGTATGCTGTTTGACGCTAAAGAAACGTGACGTTACAATACACAATCTGGTACAAAATTCATAGAAAACTGTTGTATTGACAGTTCGAAAAAAGTATTTAGTTTGACTAGTTGACAAGTACAACTCAAATTTCTTTACAGTCTCTAAAATTATCAGCGAAGCTATCAAGACAACATTCGAGAAAACTCCTCAGATCGCCGCAGTACATATCAGTGCAAATATACCGACATATGATGGCTTCTATGATCCGAGCGCTAGACAACTACATAGTCACAACCTGCATTCTATCATCTTGGACAGAATTTGAAAACGATCTAAAGAAAGCTCGCACTTTGGACGACTTGTACGAATGTCACGTGGTTTATATCAAAAAGGTTTTATTCCGATGCCTTCTCAACAATAGATCGACGCCTGTGATGAAACTCCTAAACGATATATTCACTGTTATTTTGAAATTCAGTCGAGTTTTGAAAGCTGGGTGAGTGTTTTACGTGTCAATGTAAATGGACCCTAATACGAACTGATGCCTTAGTACGAGTTTCTCTTACGTTGAAAGTGATCGAAACGAGTACGCGTTCGGCGCTGTGATTGGCTGGCTCCAATGAACCAACCAATCAGAGGGCCAGACGCCGTCTCGTTTCGATTACTTTAAAAGAAAAAGAAACTCGTACTAAACCCTCTGTTTAGAGTTTATACTTTCTTAATCATCTTGTGATATTTTCACAACATCTTCTGATATTATCTGTTCTTCAGTGTATTTTCTGTTCATAACGTCATTCTTCTCTATTTCTATAGTGAATGGCAACAAAAAGAACCAGAAGGATCGTTCACACACTCAAGCTTCTCACAACTAGAAGAGCTCTTCCATTTGTTCGAAAAACTCGCCAAATACTTGCACAAAGTAGTCACAAAGCTGATGGAATGCGGATACCAAAGACACCTGGTAGAATTACTAACTATGGTCAATCTGAACGGGTACTATGATCCAGATAAGTCGAAAGAACAAAATACTACTTTGCAGTCGACAACGTGAGGAGTTGGTAAAAGTGGTCTTTAAACGAAATTCATTTTATGTACCAAGACAAATGTAGGAGATATTGCATGTATGTGCGCAAACTTAGGTGCATTCTTTGACCCCTGTTCCTTTATACTCATAATCCAAAGGGACGATGGACTATTTTCAAAGGATTAGGTAGGATCAACGGCTTAATAATTTGAGGTAGCAAATAGATGATAGTTGAGGTTGCTTTGACCCTGTAGTGTAGCTTAGGCCTGAACACCTAAACCAAACGTAACTACTGGGTTATGTACTCACAAGACAATACTCTAACCAAATAGGCTCTTATTAAGAAGGCACATACTAGTTTTTCATGGCTTTCCAGTAACTATGAACTAAAGCTATAACTTACGGTTACGGTCAAAGTAACCCCAACTTAAGAAGACATAGATGTATGCTAAAGGCTTGCACCGACTTTGCAATCCGAAGGTCATAATAATGTTATCAAAGAAACTGTAATAGAAGTGAAGTAGTTGTATTTTCTCGATTGCGGATCACGTGAGTTGATTACTGCGCAGTAGAGATCTATTGTGATTGATGTATTGACGCGGGCATTAGATTGAATGGCGCAACACAATTATAATTACATACTGAAACGGACATTACACAACATTGCGTAATCTTTACATATAGGTCTGAATGGTTGTAATTTGTAACGTAGTACAAAGGTTATAAGGCATATTTTTGGGCGGTTTTTTATGCAAGTCTTCCCATATTTGTCCTACGTGTTATTTTTGAGATGCAAGTCAAGCGTATTTTGTAGACATTTGTTAGTGAACGTTGATGGTTTTATTCTGAAAATTAAGTACGTAATACTCAAAAGCGTTAGAACATGGGTTGAAAGGATAGGATTGGATTATTTGCCAATTTCAATCTAGACCAGACTTATTCGTCGTGTTTATATTTTTTACATAAGATAAAGAATTTTGGAAAAGCTCAACGCAAAATGTATTAAAATTTTATCTCTAGTAGGTTTTTGAAGCTGGTCGTTTTGTTAAGCTGTTTGCGCTGTAGTAATAATAAACGATATTGTTCTACCTACAAGGAATCGAATGTTACTAAGAATCTCTTTTATATTGCTTTTTGCACTAGATAGTAACAATTTGTTTGCATTTTTAACGATTATTTAAGTATTGAAGCACAATTATTAGTTATGCTTTATTAAATAAAGACATTGCATTGTTTTGTTAATTCTTAACGGGTCTAAACCATGACATTATTATTGTAATATTAATTTTACTTTTGATCGCTGGTCGTGTTATTAGATGAAAGTTATACTCTATAGATGTCGATATCTAAATTCATTTATAGAGTGGATAGATACAAAATCTATTAAACTCTTCAATCATAGAGTATGTCTTGAATTATTATGTGTTAAACGGTGTGCACCTCACGCGACTGTGATTAGGACAAATAGTTTGTTTTTATGTATCGTTATTGTTTTGTCTGTATTTGTGCCTAATTAAAACTAGCGGCCAGTGTTTCTAAGTTAATAAATAACATATAGACTTCAAAAGTAGGTAATACACAATGTTTTTCAATCTGGGTGCACAGCAGTGCCCCCGTCAAGTCGAGAAAAAAGTATCACGGCGCGGCCGTATCATCATTTTCTCGATCCAGTTGACAGGATCCTGTAGCTGATAGGTTTAGTTGGTGCTTCTATAGTAGTATTTTTAATATTGAGACTTCTTAAGGTGCGTGCAGATGATGCCCGCAAGCGAAATGCAATTTGCAAATGGTTCCCGAGCCGCGCATTCGCCTAATGTGGACGCGCCGTATGAGAATCTGAGATTCATTTTAACATCAATTTTGAGTAGCGATCAAAAGTGTGTTAAAATAATCAAATGTTAATTCCTCCCACCTATTTAATCATGTGATATACTTAATTATTATTTTTTGTGTAATTTGTGTCGAATCGTGTTCATTGTTCAGTGTTGCTTAGTATAATATTGTTCATGTATGAATGTTGTGTACCTAACTGTCACTGTTAACGTGGATTATGTAAATAAATTAATGAATAATTATGAATACTAATGTCACTATTATGTTATATGTTATAATAAATATGTATAGTTATTTTTTATACTTTTTGTTTTTATTTCAAATATGTCCCTAAACTTCCTAGAGTTGCAATATTCCAAACGGTAATCAGCGAAATCATAACAAAACTTTTATTTCAATAAACTCTTCAACTTCAGGAGGACTCACATATTACAATCATTTAATAACCTAATTTAAAGAAACTAAAAGCATGTTTATGAATAAAATAAAAATATTGAACTTTGTCGACTGAAGAATTTCGAGAATAGATAAAACCAAGGTTTAGTTTAACGTTTTGTAAGAAAGATGGCGTTGTAAAATACTAAATAATATGAAGGAACGCCATCTGTTGTTGAATAGTCGACTTATTTATTAACGCCATCTCTTGGCGAGTAGCCAAACTCTAGGTTTGTTTACGAGTTTTGATAACATGTTTGTTGACTTGTAGTATTTTTATTTTCATCAAAAAGAACGGACAACTTTTAATCTATTATTAATTTAAAATTCCTAATATGTGCATCACGGATATCTCTTTATATTATCAGTTATCAAGTGATCAGTAGAACAGTTCGGTTTCATTTATTATCCGCTGCGACAGTGGCGCCAATATTTTCCTTATATCAGGGTGTGTTTTCACGAATACTTCATTCTACCGCAAATCGTCCTAAGGTTAACATCCTATCCTAATCAATTCAGTGAACGTGACATTGAAGTGAAAGCCGGCATTTCCTGCTATCTACTGTCGTTTTCCCTGGAAAATTTTGAAATTATTTTATGTTTTTATTGAAAAAGCATATTTTTTGTGAAATTTAAAAATTAAGTGAATATCAACAGTTGTTTATAGTTATCGATTGGAGAGCAATTTTCCACGATCGCACTCAGTTTTCGTCCTATCGAAGACGATATTTTACCAAAAACGTTAAAACCCAAGAATCACCGTCACCACCGCCGAGATGGCGTTCATGATGCCTGTTGTCAAGAACGACTGGGACATATACAACTCCCAGCGGAGTCGGCGGGTGTCCGAGTCAGCGGAGAAGGCGGGGCTCGGCCACGGCCGCGTCCGCAAGGTGTCGGAGTCGCGGTCCGAGGGCCCCGTGCTGTCGCCGCGCGCCCACACGCTGAGCCCGCACCGCAGCGCGCCCGCGATGCGCTCGCTGTCCTACTGCCGCGCGCCGCCGTCGCGCGCCTCGCTGCGCACCGCCAGCGACAGCCCCAGCAAGGGTTCGGCTAGCCCCAAGAGCGCCGTGCGCGAGGACAAGTTCCACAGCAGGTTGGTGGAGAAGTTGAAGCGGGCGCTCGGACGCTCGGAGTCGAAGCGCGAGGAGCGGAGCTCGTGAGTTAACGCGTGCTTGTGTGCAGGGCGCGCGCAGAGTCCCCGGAGCGGCACTCGCGCTGCGGAGCGTGCGTGCCCTACCTGTGACGGCCGGCCGCCGCAGCCGGCTCGTCCGCGGCGCCACACTATCTGTGATATGTTTCCGATAGTGCACACGCAAAGAGATGAGTAGACAATGATGAATGTGCTAACTAACCGCCTATGGTCTTTCGGACGCTGAGAACCTAACGTTTGAAGTTACACCGACACAATGCAATAGTTTTAGTTGTCATACTGTGAGTCGCTTTCCTTAACTGTTGCATGTTTGTTAGTTGTCATCGTACCGTATATCATATGAGCAGGTTGTCAGATTTAGGTTGTAAACATGAAAGTACGTTGTATGGATTTTAAGACTGCGTTTAGTTTAAGCACGCCCTGGGGTTCGATAAGTATTATTATTTGAAAAATCACCCCAGAGGTCACTAGAGGTTAGTTTGTGGCAGTTTGCGAAGGGTATCTGTGATTCGTTATTTGTAAGTAATGTGGTTTTATTTATTTAAGTTGAAGAGGAGATTGCATTCAGTTTTATTGTTTGTGAGAGTCCTTGTTGTTTGACATAATTCTAATAACTACCACTTAGTATTTGTTTAGTTGGAATTTGTTTGATCAGAAATTGAATATCTTTGAGTTAGTTTAAATTCTGCAGCTGCTCCATTAGGCAATTGGAAATGAATCGAAAACAGGTGAATTCAATACGGTAGAGAATGAGACATTTGTTATAATATTTGTACTGTAGTTGTAATAAGAGTACCTTTATATTAATGTACACGTACACGTAGTGCAAACTGTCGATATTGATAATTGTAAGCAGTGTTGTATTGTAGTCATCGATGTAATAATACAATGAAAATTTATTTATATATAGAACGGGGCTTGCCCTTGTTTTACAAACATTTTTGTTATGATTTCGCTTGATTTTATTATGATGTTATCTTGTGACTGCAATTGGACCAGCTTTGTTAATAGTATTATCTATCAGTGAAACTGAAGTCGATAATAGTGATATAAAGTAAGATGTATCATAAAATTCTAAAGTTAAGGCATATCTCGATGAGATTTTGATGAGGGCATCAAGGAGTGATGTATCGATGTGTTTATTTCGTTTGCTTGTCAAAGTTCCTTAAGTCTGTTGGCTGCCACTGGCAGTTACATGGGCCTATTTAAATTTTTAGATTTATGCTACTAGTTATTATACAATACCAAAATTTAAATCTTACATTATCATTGAATTGTTTGCAAACATTTTTAAATGCATGTATTGTCATTGTCAACGATGTCTGATCTGATGATTTTAAACACTTAAATATAAAGCTTATTCTGAGACATATGTTTTTATTTCTTAATTTCATACCCTTTCATCGTAACTCATTGCTATGTTTAACAGTTTTGTGTTATTATTTATGGCTACATTAGTAAACGAAGAGCGTCATAATAAGATATTGGCTCGCAATATTTGGCGCTCTCTGAAGAAAATAAAACAAGTCGTACAGTACACAATTGGACACGTGTTCTGTCGATGTGCGAGTATTAATGTAACTAGGAATGTCCGCAAGTTCGCATCGTCTGGCGATCGAATTCTGATAATTGGCACTCGGAGAATTATAGAACATCTTAAAACCAGACATTTGGTAACTGAATTCATTAAGAGATTGAAATAATTCTACATGTTTTGACTTCTCAATGAGGCCAAAATTATAGCACACACTCTTTATTCAGAAGAGGAATATTTTAAAAACTAGTTTTGCTTTTTGTACAACAAAATGTTCAAAGTTCGTCTACACATTGGCCTTGACCTCATTTCCTCCTCGCTTCCATTTACTCACAGAGAAAACCTTTTAAGTTCCACAAAAATACCACTTTAAGTTCCTAACAAGTCTCTAAGCTTGTAAAGAAAGTAAATCCTTTTATAAAGAGCAATTTCTTCACAAAAGGTACAATAAACGTATCTTTAACTATACATACAAAAATCTTTAAATAAACAACCTGATTTACAATGTAACACAAGTCTGCACAGTTAAAAAGATCTTAAGCATCAATTTCGCTCATTGAAGAACATGACACTCAATGTTCAGTCCTGTGTTTTATTATTCCATACAACTTTCGTATAATAGGCAGTAAGCACCGCTTGGAATATTACCAGGGGTCTGATCAATAACTCGACGGCTGACCATTCTCGAATGTTCGACGCAGAGATGCAGGGAGCTGGTGACTGGGTACTAAATGGTTGCGTTTGAACGCTATCGTCTGGTTAATCGAAATGTGCTTGGAATATTTTAACAGTATTGCGAAGATCGATATGATAGTTTTATTGTTAAAAGACATACACAGTACATATGTGATTGTATTTATTACATGATTGTTACACTCGATTGTAAAGCAGACAATATGTAAAAGGTACCTAACGTTGAAATTTGAGCGTAATACCGAAGTGTTCTTATTATAAACTGAAAAGCTTTTCAATACTTTATAAAATATTAACGAGACGATCATCTGGAAAAATCTTAATAAAATTCAAGTTTTGTGTTGTACGAATGTTGAACCTACAGTAACTTACAAAGACTTACTAAAATATTAGCTAAGCACACTGCATAGAGATCAATTTTGAATGAGACGCTTTAGTTCATATGCAAATGCAATTTATTAGTGGGGAAGGGCTCAAGGGTTCAATAAGACTCAGTGTCGCAAATAAATCTTCTCGAATGTTCCGAAGTGGACTTAAGTATTTAGTACTGAAGTGTAACTAACCTATTGGCTTTTAACGCTAGTTATAGAAATTAGCATACTTCGTTAGCACTCTCATTTCAAGAACGATTTAAAATGTAAATAAATATGTACTTTTACGGATAGTCATTTATGACTTAGCTTATGTACTTAGCTACTTTGTTTTTAGTTTTGACCATAACTGGTGTGAATATTCCATAATTTTTAACATTTGTTTTTTTACTGAATTAGGTATCTCGGACTAAACATTAAATTCCATGACATTTATATAAAAAATATAAAATTTAGAAATGATTGCCTCGATGGCCGAGTGGTCACAAGTGCAAGGCCGAGTGGGCAAGTGGTTCGATTCCCGGGTCGGGCATAGTAATAATGGGTTTTAATAAAATTCTCAGTAGTAGCACAGGGTCTGGAATTGTGCTTGATATATGACAATAGGCTCACTACCTATTCCATGGGACTCATAACATAAAAAGGGAAAAGTGGGTGTGGGTGTTACATTGTACAGTAGCATCAAATGCCGTAATCTGCACCTCTGCCAACTCTTTCGGGGATAAAAGGCGTGATATTATGTTATTTTGAAAAATGCATCGATACAATGTTTAATGTACGAGACAAAATATGGCTGAAACAAATACTGAACTTATGTTGTCATATAACTACGTTACTTATACTTAAATGGATAATTTAAATAGGTAATTTGTTTTATAAATTAGAAAGTATGAGTTGTGAAACAATGTAAAACTATGAAACAACCTTCCTTCATAAATAAAAATGAATGATTTGTTACATAATTAAAAAGCAAAACAGAAATAATTATAATTTATTCTATAAGCCCAACATGATTGTTTACTAAATTAGAAATAAGTGAATAAAATTAAAATTTTCAGTTGTTTCACAACTTCACATTACTGTCATTATTTAATAACTTCAATCGGATATTTTGATTTCTCCCCTATAGTGCTAGATAAGCCTTCATACGATTGTATGAAGAGAGTCGCGGAGAACCTAACGGGTAACCGGGGCTCCGGCTCGACGTGCAGGAGAAGGAACGGGGTGGTTTTTAGTCAGTAAGAGTCTGACACTCCCTCCCGCCTCACCCAGGCGGGAGCAGTCATTCGATGATTTTCCCCCATAAAAAAAGTGCTAGATAATATATAGATTTCCGAACATCTATAATTTCCCTATAAAGATCTCCCATAGGAAGAAAAGACACCTACTCTCTATTCAGGGCTACCACGTGTAGGAAAAAGCCGTCCAGTACCCAGGTATTATTTCATACACTTTCATTGATAAACCACGTAACTAATTGTGACACGAGTACTCGTCATATTATGATAATATAACATAACAGATTAGGAACGTGTAACTAATATTAGAGGTATATTAATCTATATGCCTGGTATCTTACTATCTACGTACGTATAACTGTTCTGTAACCTAAATGTTCTTGCGTACTCACTGATTACGTTACGGAAAATTTTCCTTCATGATACTGAAGAATCAAGTGACAACTTAAATGGGTATATGTTCTTTTGTGTACAATCGACAAAGTTGCCGTTTGAGTATCATTAGGATCGCCGATTCGCATGCACTCGCACTCGCACTGCACGGTTGGTGCGGTGCTGGGCAACCGGCTGCCGTGTAACGTGTCGCGGGTTTGATTCCCGCACGGAACAACACTTTGTGTTATCCATAAATTGTTGTTTCGGGTCTAAGTGTCATTGTGTATGTGAACTTGTATGTTTGTAAACGAATCCACGACATAGGAGAAATACCTAGTGTGGGGCAACGTTTTTTAAAAATATCAAATCGATTTTGATTTGATATTTTTACCCGTATACCCATACGGTGTACAATCGACAAATTTGTGTGCAATCGAGTTGGTGTTTGAGTATCATTCGGTGATATTCGCATGCACTCGGCGCGAGACCACTGGGAAAACGACCGGTGTATATTAGATAGTGTGTTTGCCACAGGATTTATTTAAAAAATTTTCGTACTATGCTGTAAACATTCCCGATATTGTGAAATTATAATTTTTAATACTATGTAGTATCCAGTTCAGTTGATCTTTTAAGTCTAGCCTGTGCGACATATGTGTGTACTTAATTAAAAGAATTCTAAACTATGTAACTAATATTTCATTTTGTTTGCTCCTTCTTATGTAACTAAAGAATAATTTAATATGAATTTTAGTACACTACAAATAATTAATACTTCGCAGTAAACATTGATTAATTG